TTAAATTTTTCCGGTCAACATGTTTTTTGATTTGTTGCTAGTGGCCCATTTCGAAAAGTTCAGTTTCAAACTCGAAAAGAAATAACTTTTTCTTAAATAAAGAAAAAAGACTAAAAAAAGTGTATACATTAAATTATTGTATAAACTTTTTCTTAAATAAAGAAAAAGGGATTTAAAAAAATGTTTATACATTCAATTGGTGTGCACGAGGACAAGGTTTACTTCTTTCCTATCGAGCCGCATGTCAATATAAGTAAATTACTCTAACTTAATATAATTAAGCATAATTAATTATAGGCAAAACCAGAAACACAGTATCATTTATAACAGTTTTGTATTTAATTTAAAAAGCGGGTGATATATTTCGCCTAACATAGATATCGGACCTATAAAAATGTCAAATACAGACTTTAAATCTTATCGTTATATCCGATATACAAATTAAAAACAAAGCACGCACATGAACAATAACTATAACCAAGAATCCTATAGATTCACGGTTTATCTCTAATAAAAAAGGAAAAAAAATATTATAAATCAAGATTAGAGGTCGGCGTTTGACATTTCTATAAGTCTGATGATGCCATTTTAGGAGAAACTTGTCGCTTGTGTTTTAAAATAAAAATATATTTTGACGAAAGATACTGAAGACTCTTTTATAAAAAAAAAGATTTAAAAAAAAAAAGAGGACAAACTTGTTTCTTCTATATCAAAAAGTTAATATATTAATATATAATATATATTGCAACAGCTTTTACAAATTTATTTTTTAATTTTTCCTTGTTTTTCTTCAGTTTTAATAATACTATTTAAGTACTTAATAATGTCGTTTTCGATTTTTTGAAAATTTGACAAATACTTTTATATATAAAAAAAGATTTTTTCGAAAAAGAGTAGGACATGATTGTTTCTTCTAAAAAGCGAATGTCTCTAAACTCAATAACGAACAAAACTTAGATTACACTAATTTTATCTTCTAATCAATTCAGTAAAAAAATAGTTTTCTTGAATTTTGACCACATGTTGAAACAGCTTCCACAAAATAAATTTCTAATTTTTAGTTGTTTTTCTTCAATTGCACATTTTAAATCTGTAATGAAACCAAAGAAAAATAGGACTGAAGTTCTAAACAGTCAAACGATGTCAAGTATCTTTTTTAAAATTTTGCAACAGAGCAATTATCAAGTAACTTTGTTTTCTAATTGTTATATAAACCAAAATACTTGTTATTGATAAAGATATGGATAAAATCGTCATTTTCTTTATCGGCCCTTAAAACAAATTTAATATAATTTAATATAATAATAATAACACTCAACGGAAACTCACAAGCACTTCACAGACTCTATTTCTCTATATTGAACGAATCAATCATTTTTGCACGTCCTTCAATTTTTGGCAGAGATATTTTTTAGTTCATTTCTTACAGTTGAAGGTTTAAACTGGTCAACTTTTGCATTAACTTTTGATGCGTGGCTTCCACTAAATGAGTGAGCTCTGCGAACAACAAACTTCCATTACATTTGGACATAATACCTACGGGTTCCTTTTTATTTAAACCTGTTTGGTCCTGGCAATAAAAGGACTCCATACTTTCTGAATTTTATATTTGATTCCCCCATAAAACTAAATTGGTATAAATGGTACTTAATACTGCTTGGCTCCAGTTCCAGAGTCTTAAATACTCCACAAATTTGAAAAATATTTCTAGGGGATAATTTTTAAGTCTAATTCATAATAAATAAATAATAAATAAAAATATAAAATATATAAAAAAATCCCCCGCTCCCTCCAGTCGTGGTGGAACATCGTTTTGACGTGTTTCTTAATTACGGATGTACAAAACAAGAGTATTCTTTCGGTAGCAAGATTCGGGTAACCCACTGACAGGGTTCTTTTATTCTCCCCCACCGGGGACAGCCCCCCCCCCTACTCACGCCGTTCCTTTGATCGGAATGACTCATGTAGGTCAATTTTTAACCCTTCTTTTTTTTGTCGGGGCAAGTCGTTATTCATAATAATTGATATAAGGAAGCCCGAGACTGCGGGGGTCGTTTCAGTTGTCGGACTGAGGCTTTTTTTAAGGGGGAACGTTATCGATTTCTTTACCGCCCAAAACTAAACGTATCTCTTGTCGATGCTATAGTTTTCTTCTCCGCGATAAAAAATCTCATTCCCGATCATTTGAGTTTTTTTGCGAATAAATAAAGCTCTGATATTTCTTTTGAATTTAAACTTTTTCTCAATGATGTCTAGTCTGCAGATGTGAGAGATGTAGCCATTGTTTTGTTCTGAATTCGAAAATATTATTTATTATGCCTTCGGGATATCCTGAAGGTGTCCGGTATACAAGTTTGAAGATGTCCTGGGACTGTGATTGTTTCAGAATAAGAAAAACTCTGAAATAATTTTTTCAATGTCTTGAGGATGTCCTGTTCACAAACTGGATGAGGATATTTCAGGGATGCATCTATTTTAGAGTTGTTCTTTTCTGAATTTGAAAATTTTCTGGTTCAGACTTTTGAATTTATAATTTAGTCATTTTAAGGGTTGTTTGGAAGGAAGAATATAATATGTCTTGAATTAGGTGCCTGGAAAATTTAATCATTGTTAGGGTTGACCATGAACAATTTTCTTTTGCATGTCCGGTGTTGATCTTGAAGATCTACTTAGACGTATTTTTTTAATATATATACAACTTTGAGAATGTTTCACTCTTAGGAAATTCCTGGAGATGTCAAATACGGCAACCTCGGTTATGTTCTTGATATTTTAGGTTTTTTTGTATTATGGTCAATAATTATACTCAGTAATTTCGAATATAGATGATTTGGAGGTTTTTCCGCTTCAGTCAGTCTTGACTTATTTTGCTGGATTTCTAGTGTAGCGAAGCCTGCTCTGAAAATGTGGAAAAACACATAAAAGCGCGCGTCTAATACGATTACGTGTTTAATTTTCAAAGACAGACGTTTTACTTTCGCCGCCGAGATTAAAGGAATACGGTTGCTTGTATTTTCCAGAAAGTGTAATTAGTAGCCCATTTCTTGCGCGAAGCTGCAAAAATCTCCTCGTTAATAAAAAATGCAAAGCAAATCTCCGAAAGAATACAAGTAATTACCTGTGTAGCGGAGTTACCATGAGCGTAGCGCCGGGGGGGCGATATAGAACCTCATAATCAATCCATATTCTCTATGTTGTAGCTAGGAAAGTGTAGTATTACTTCGAATTTGGTGCACTTCTTAAATGATCTATACACCAGAGTTTTTTGCAAAAGCCTATAACCCCCTTTTTAAAATTAATTTTGTAAAAAGAAGAAGAAGAAGTAAAAAAAAAATAAATGTGACTTCTAAATGTTACTACTTAAGACTGTCTGTATTGACCATTTAACCAGCTGTAATGTTTAAAGCAAACAGAATCACTGTTATTGTTAGTAAACGTCCATTTTGCGGCGATGTCAGATTTACGGTTTCCGTTATTTTCCCAGGATTCCTTTTTATGGCCGAAACGATGACGTAGCTCATCTCTCAAATAAAACGCTGGCCAAAGCGATCTTCCCGCCGCGCGCCGCTGGCGGCCTGAAATCTCACCTTCCTTTTTTTATCTCGTTTCTCTCTCGCCCATCTAAAATGAAATAAGCCCGATGTTAATTACTTCAACATAACCTGAAAAATAGAAAATTAAAAAGTTTTAAATTAAAGCGCTGGAAAAAAAAGTGCGGGAGGTGGAATAACGGGTTTTTGCACCCGACGATAAATTATCCGGAGTTGTTTCATAGTTTCCGCAAAATTCGACTATAATCGCGCCCGCGATATGGTTTGATTCAAATTAGAATCGTTTCGCTGTCGGAAATCCTACATATTCAGCTTGACCATGAATGCCCGAAAGTTTCTACCTTTTTGGATGCAGGTTGTATTATTTTGATTCATAAATTTGTGGTTACTGTTCAAATTGCAAAATTTTTGATTTTAAATGGTTTTTCAACAAGTTGCAATATGCACAAACTTGCACAAAATTGTATTTTGAAAAATATTACGTATAGAAGTAAGTTTATTCTATTAAAAAAACCACATTTCACACAAAAATAATTCCGTAGATTTATGTAACAAATATAAACAATTAAACATTGTAAAATTTATATCCCCTTTGAGCTTTCTACTTTCAGCTTCAACTTTATTTTGCAATACACTGTAAAATTTACATGTCATCGAATTTTGCTTAGTTTGCACTATTTACCAATAATCATTTATGTAAGTAACTTTTCTATGAAAAATTGAAAAAATTTTCAGAATTTCATCATGTTTCAACCATAAACTGCCAGAGAGAAAAATTTTATTCGACGTCACGATCATTCCCGCGCTTTTATTGTGGTTTAAAAGGAATAACCGGGTGTCACAATTTGAAACAAATATTTTAAAGAAATAAAAAAAAGTTCAAGTTCCCAATTTAGTTGTGGTCAGTGCTAAACAAATAATAAACACTGTACGCCAATCTAACCGAGGCGTCAATTACAAGAAAAAAATTATAAAGGGAAATTGATCAACTATCTCTAACAACATTCTCGAAGAAAGACATATTTAAAAGTTAGGTTATTAGTCATTTGAAGTTCAAGTTTCTTGTAACTTGTAAAATATTTTCAAGCCGGGCCTGCCTTATTGCGGTTTGACGACGTGACCTACAAAGTATAAGTCAGCTGTGTAATTTGAACCAAACTATTCTCTTATATCTGGTTGATCAGGTTAATCTGATTACATACCACACGTAAAATTGAAGCATCGATTCCGATTCACTCGCGCTTCGAGAATCAAATAAACAGTAAAAGAGATAAAAGAAAAGTTCAAATCAAACCAATACGACACTTGGTAGGTATTACACTCTGGTCTACTAACTAACCCATAACGTAAGCTAGACGGATTGTAGAGATCGAACAACAAGTATTAAAAAACTAACCAACCATTGGTTTGATTTAGACCTTTTAGATTAATCCGAAGTTTTGTCAACAGTGTATTGGTCGTTTGCAGCAACACGCAGCTTTGATCGGTGGACCGAATGCCACGTCGTGTCCTTTATGTCATAAAATGTTCCTCGGGGGCGAAGCGTTGATGGAACACATGAAACACACCCATAAAGATCCCAACGCTTCCGGGGTAGCCAGTAAGTACCTAAATTTGGTGGTCTCGCCCGTTCTACGTGTCTCCGTCACACTGTGTTGTTGTTCGTTACGTCCAGGCCCGTCTTTATATTGTCGCGTGCATGAGCACCTTTACCGTAGATTCGTAACGTAGTTTTATTTACTAACAACTATATTAACACCAACAAACGGCGAAAAATCGTATAGGCGTCATCGACGAATCGAGTGGGCCGATTAAAAAAATAAATATCTCGGATGGTGTAGGGGGGGAGGGCTGTGCAAGACGAGCCGGATCAACAAAAATGCTTTTAACTCCGGATCGCTCCCCAAAGAAAAAACCCTTTCATATTTTTAAGTGCTCCTCAGACAGAGATTTATTATTAATCCTTGGCGAGTTAACTTCTTTGTTGATTCTTTCGGGTGAGTTTTCTTTTGATGCGCGGCTAATCGCCGGTCCCTTTTCCGAGGTGAAATAACAACTTTTAGAAACAACGGAAGCGGGGGCGCTCGAAAGTATTTCATGTTACCCGCTGCAATAGATGTTCGTTTCGTGACGAACGCTTCTTTACGATCACTTCAACTTCGCAGACTGTACACCGACCTAAACGTCTTTTTCTCAGGTGCTTCACGGAGAAAAACGAAAGTTTCGAAATATGTGCCTCAGTGGCGTCTCAATTGAAACATTAATATCAATTTTATAAATCGTTTCTCAGCATACATTACCACACTAGTTGTGTCTCACCCTGTCTCAACCGAAAGATTTACTTTTCTTACTTTGTATTCAAGAGAACGCTTTAATTTCTTGGTACAGATATTAAAATTGTCTCATTCGAATTATTTAATTTCACAAGTATTCGATACAGAAAAGAGCTTTGTCTCAGTCATATAAGTTATTTATTAATTTCTTAAGCTAAATATTCTCTTTCCTGCCTCAACAATCTGCTGGTGCTGCCCATACCCAAAAGATCGGGTCAATCATTTTGCCTCACTTGTCTCGCCATGTCGATAACAGTACATTCAATAGTTTTTGCCTCAGTCCAGCATTCAATTTGACAAATATTTTAAGTATGATCGTCTATTGCCTCGTCTGTCTCACTCTCCCCAACCAAAATATACCGAGTCTCAACCATTTTCGTCGTAAACACAAAAAACTGGAATGGGCAATTTGCTATTTGCAGCCACCTGTATGTCGCACGTGTAGTTTTAGATGATCGTATTGTGCATGTGTTTATGGATTTATTTATTTCGCTTGTGAGCGGGTTTCCCGTCCTATTTTAGTTGCTTTATTTTTTGCACGACCGTTATTGCCAATTGGCCGTTTAAAAAAACGCAAAATTTTCAACTGCCAATTGTCACGTTTGAAAGTATAGGATCGAATACATATCGATATAAGAAACGCAACGCCGGCAACGATAAAACGGCGTTGCCGACACTGCACCGTTTTCCCTAAAATTGGGGACCCGTCGTTATATCGATATCCGTGTCTCGCTGATTAATCGCTAACATTTGGCGAGACAGTGACTAACGTTGATTAGATTTGACTAACATCAAACATTGAATAAATAAGAAAGAAACGCTTTTTGACAACATTCCTGGGGTGCTTTGCTTTATATCTCTTTTCTCTTTTTGTTGACGTCATCGATCCTTATCTAGCGAAAAGAAGGACGGCCAATCATCCATGTCCGGTGTGCGGAAAGCACTACGTAAACGAGGGATCGTTGCGCAAACATTTAGCTTGTCATCCCGAAACGTCTCAACTGTCGAGTTCCTTAAGAATGTGGCCGTGTTCTGTATGTCAAGCCGTGTTCACACACGAATCAGGTACTTGCCACCAATTGCAAAATCTCCTTAAATTTTAGGGAAAATTTTATGATAATATTCTCCTCAGTAATAGTCTCAGTGATTTTCGATCGATTTTGATACCGACGAGTGTGTCCTCGCCGTTGTCTCAGTCGCTACGCGATTTGCCTCACTATAAACGCGTCGCTACCGAACCGGAACAGGTATCAAAGTTGATCCCCATCACTGAAAGGTCCACATATGTGTGATTTTGTTTTCAATTTATATTATTTCTGTCGCGATTTAAGAAAGTTCAAAAAGCATAGAGAACGGCACCCCACCACAGGTCTAACCAAAGCCCAAGCGTTGCGATTTAGAAACTAAACACAGACACGTTGACTTTTGCATGACTTTTTTATTTTTGTTTACCACGCACATATGTGGACTCGAACTGAAGAGAATATTACCATGGCCTGTTAAAGGCTTCACCGTCAAAAACCTCACAAAGCCTTGTAGCTTTTAGTAGACGCCTTGTCTCGATGTCGTCTCATTCGCTGCTCCCCAGAATATCGCTTTTTGATCCGTTACCTTAATTGTAGGACTGTTAACGCACATGGAACACATGCGTATGGATCCGAAACATCAGTTCGCCGCTCAATACGTCCTGTCTCGAGCGGCCGCCGAGAGGAGGGAACGCGAGACTTTGTTGGCTGCTGTCTCGGCCTCGGCTTCCGGTTCCGGCTTGCTCGGATTAACAGGAATGGGACCAGGTAAGTATCCCTACTTGCTGCCTCGGTGCGTCTCACTCGCTTCTCGTTGATTCCAGCGAGTGGTTCTCCAATGTGCGCCTCACCTAGCGCCCACAGCGATAGTTCCTCAGGAAACGGCAGACTCTCTTCGGCTGGTTCGGAAGCAGGCGGTTTGAATAACAACAACAACAATTGCAATACTAAATTAGGTGATATCTTACGAAGTGAGTTAGATTATTCTTATTTTTATTAGTTGTCTCAGTCAAACGGCGCTGTCTCATACACGATTCGCAAGCAATACGAGCCCTCTAACCGCCGGATGAATTTTCAGGTAACAACGGGCTCCATCAGCAGTATAACATGGAAGATCAGCTGCACCAGGCGAACAGGATGGCCGTCATAGCCAACATGGTGAACCAGGGTGGTGTGCCGCCGGGTCTCGGGTCCGATCCCGCCGCGAATATTGCCAATATTGCCAATCTAGCGATGAGACTGGGCGTGACACAGGTATTGAATATTTGTTTGTCTCAGTCAGAACTTAATTTATATCAATTTAAACTTTTGGGTGTGCGGTGTCTCAAGCGAAACTGGTTCTATCACACTGGTCTCAGTTAGAACTTTATTTACCTCAATTTTCTGTCATCTAAAAATAAATTTGCCTCAACTGTCTCGGTTTAATATAATTTAGTAGTATCGGTAGAATCTCAATCAGAATTCCGTTTAAAATACTAGTCTCAGGCGTGTCTCGACGGCAGCACACTTACTTACTGTGCGAACCAATTTTAATAATAGATTGTTTTTTCAGGCTAATCAAGTGAACAATTCGTCGAACCCTTCGACTCCGCCAATTACGAACGAGGCCCTGTCGTCGCTGTCCATGAACGCAGTCAACGCTATGCGCGCGTCTATGGACTCCATTAGATCGATGGACGTGATGCGCAACAGCGTAATGGACATGTCTCAGGTATAGACGGCTGCAGTAAACGTCTCGCAACCACTGTGTAATTTAAGTATGCGTCTGCGCAGGCGTCTCAACAATCTGCGCAGCAGTCGGCCGCCGCGCAGGAGGCTTTGCGCTTCCAGCACGCTGAAGCAGTCATCAGATCTCAAGCCGAAGCCGCTCTGAGATTAGCCATGAGCCAGGCTCTACCTCAGTTGAATCCCGGCCAGGATAACAACCACAGTCCGCTACGCCATAATGGTGAGTCGCTTTTGCCTTGGTAAATTCGTGAATATACAGGGCGTCGTCATAAAAATCGCGCGATAAAAGAACCGCTTTGTTTTTGTTAATAGTCTAGCTTTTCCTGCTTTTTTTTGTATTTATGTTTGCCTTTTTATTTTTATTTTGTAGAAAAGCACCTTCAGTCTTTTTGGCCATAACTTGAAGGATGTTTTGTCGTTTTTGTAAGTAACATTCGATTTTATTTGCTTTACGTTTTCGAACCGGAAATTTCGTCAAAAACAAATCCCAATCACATCCCACGCGTGATGCCCACTTTTCGGTTTGTTACAGGAAACTACCAAGGTCATCAGGGTCAGTCGTCGCAACAGCTGAGCCCTGACCTTACCGAGGCGCTGAGGCTGCAAGAGCAACGGCTCGAGCAAGCCCTGAGGCTCCACGGTAGCGATCCCAGATCGCTCGGTTTTTCCTTGGGCGGTTCGAGCGGCGGCCATCAGCAACAGAACAACCAACAGCCATGAAGTTTTAGCTACTACTGAACGCAGAACTCGCGACAAACCAGAGTAATATATATTTTTGTCGTTTTAATTTTAGGTGATACGGTATCAGTTTTACGTTTTGCCATTTTGTAAACGCTCGCAATCGCGTCACGCAAAATTCGGCTGGGCTGGGCGAACGGCGACTGAAATTAAATTTTCTAGTCTCGGAATGTGCAATTTATTTACGTTTTTTTCGGAGTATTACGCCCTGTACAGTGTTTTGAAAAAATGGTATTAACATTCGCAACATTAGCATTCCGCTTCGATTTAAGCAGCTTTAATAATGAAAATCAATTTTTACTCGTTAAATGTTCCCGCGTAAAGATGGCAATTTTTCTACGTAGTTAGTTGCATTGACTTTTGCTTTGTTCGATTACTAGAAGGATGTTTCATCCGAATTTTACTCTTTAACAGAGAGTACAATAAAGTTTACTTAATTTTTAAATAAAATAATACAAAAAATAAATTAAAATTATGAGTAATGAGTAAACGAAGAGTACTTCCCCGTTATTAACGAGTAAAACTTACGAAATTATTAGACTTGTGCGGACCAACTTATTAGTAAACTGTGGTATAGTCATTTTAATTGGCACAAGTACACAATTATGAAATTCAGTTAAAGTTACTCATAAAAGAGTTGTAGAAAAATAGTACTCCTTAGATTAGAGTTCATTATGAAATTGCTAGTAACTTGTTCTTTAACGAAAAGAGTAAAATTGCGAATATTCATTAAAGCGATGACACACAAAATTTACTGTTACTCTGCATGTAAGCATCATTCTTAAATCTTAAAATAATCGAAAAGATGTTTCTCGTTGTTAACTAGTACAACTCGCGAAATTATTAAACTTTTTTTGCCTACAAATATTGTTATTCCTTAATAAATTGTAGTATACTCACGATAAGTCAATTTCGAAATTCAACCCAACAAATTACTCACAAAAAAGTTGTTAAATTAGAGTTAATTTTCAATGTCACCCTTTACTATGAAATTGCTAGTAACGAAGTAAAAGGAGTAAAATATCCAATACTCATTAAAGCGACTACACAGAATTTACTCTGGCTCTGCAAATAAGCTTCATTTTTAAATCTTAAAATGATGAAAAATATATTTCTCGTTAATAATGAGTAAACTCGCAAAATTGTCATTCCTTAATAAATACCGATAAGTGAATTTTGAAATTCAACCCAACAGCGGTTAATTAATTAAACTTACTCATAAAAACGTTATTTAAAAACAGCTTTGAACACATTTTTTCATTCATAAAGCTAGCCAAATTATTATACTTATTCTAAGTACAAGCACTGTTATTTATTAATAAACTGTAGTAAAGTCATTTTAATTTACACGATAAATCAATTTTGAAATGCAACTTAACAGGGGTTAATTAAAATTACTCATCAAAATAGTTGTAGAAAAATAAAACGGTTTCAATGTCACGCTTTATGCCATTAACTTGCTCGTTAATACAGTAAGATGAGTAAAACATCGATTACTCATCAAAATAAACTTACTCTTTTACTTTTACTCTTACTCCGGAATAACACAAGCTTGGCGGCAGAACAAAAACACGAATAAAGATGTTAGGCCCAAAGAGTTCTGCGTACAAACTTGTGTTTGGATGCGAGCTATACAGGGCGGGATAGGAAATGCGACGTTGCCAAACTCCCGAATTTTCGAAGAACGCGATGGCGAGTATTTTATTTCGAACGAAAAATATAACGAGTACAAATATTTTAACAATCGTTTCGGTTGAGTTGCGCAATGGTACTGAGGAATTGCTTTCTGTTTGGGTTTAGCGAAAACGGGAAATGTGCCAAACTTTTTTTTTTGTTCGTCCACCGAAATTACTACCTAGTTTGCGCTCAGTAAAAAGAAATTTCGATGCCTAAGGCATACTCAGAGTTATTTTATTTGCACTTTAGAAGTGCAACACTACAGAAATCATTTTAAGGATGTATAGGTTTTAAGTGTTATGATACGGGGGTATACCAGATGCGCCGCCGGATTTTCTACCCGGACCGAGTGTCCCCCCGTATTACTTAAGTTGTACATATATAATTGTTTTTAGATTATAATTGAACGTATGGATGATTTTAATAGAGAATTTGCTATATAATATATCTTTCTTAAAAACGAAGAAAACGATATATCAAAATATCTGTCTTTTTTTTATATGAGAAATTATCGGTCCATTCTGTGATTTGTTTGTGTTTTAATTTTTTATTTTTACCGTTTTTTTTTTCTCGGCCGGTTTTGTATCTAGCAATAATCTAACGATTTATATGTTTTGTTTGCAATTTTCGCTGTGATTGAAACACGATTTTCTCGGTATTTTTTACGGAAAAATATCGGAAGACGCGTCGGCGGGCGCGCGCGCGGGGCCCGACATTTTTTCGGCCCTCCTTCTCGCCCGCCTGCCGTTTAATTAAAAAAAAAGTACAAAACGAAGTTTTTAAATTCGGATACAAGGGACGCGTGAATGTGAAACGAGTATAAAATACACACCCGGATTATTTTTTCGCAACAAAAAGAAACCAAAACGAAAGACAAAAATCGTACTTAATTTTGTTTCCCCACTCGCTGAAACTAATTGGACTGTTTCGATTCTATTTTTGGTTTGTGAAATGTGGTTTTATCCGTTGTAAATACGTAATAAGCAGTAAGAGCCTCTCCTGTACATAAAAGCCATTCGGTCGCGTTCTCGGGACGAGTCGCCGGTTTCCGATGGTACCCGAATCCATCCGAACGTGTACATAATCCGGCGGCCGGTCCCGAGTACGCGGTCGCGTTACAATAGCCACAATAGTCAATAGTTACAAAAAAAAAATACAATAGTTCACGGCCTGATTTAAGGCCGACCGCAACATTTCCCATAAAAGTGACATTTGCGTTGACGCATTTTACACGATCCCGTGTAAAATTTCAATTGTTTTTCTGCGTAAAAATAGTTTCGTTCCGACGCGCGCCGCTGACGTTCGCGACGGGGCGGGGCTTTGAAAGAAAACGCCCGCGCAAGGTTAGAACGCGACAAATTTCAATTTTCAAAATATAAGGGACAAATTTGAGTGGCAGTGTAACTGAAAAGGTGTGGTTAGTCGCAAAAAAGATATTCGGATTTCTTTCCCACTTTTTTTTTTGGATGAAATAATAGAATTTGAGAATCTTCAAAATTAAAAAGGTTTGCTTAAATATTTCTTTTTCATTTTTTTTATTTAAAAAAATACTAAAAAGGTTTGCTTAGTCGTAAAAGAAAATTGTATATTTGGGCTACCATTATTTTTTGCTAATTTTTTGCGATGAAATAATAGAATTTGACACTTCTGGTAATGGAAAATTGTAAAAAAATAAAAATAGTAAAATTGTCGAAAAAAGAAAAATAATCATTTGTACCTCCAATTTTCTAATTTTAAGTCCAATTCTGAATCTTTATATATCGAATTTTATTTTAAACAAAGGACTGAACTGAATTTTATTTTTAAAACCTTTCGGCTGAGCTAAAATTCATTTGTTGGGATAGTATTGTTATCAGAAATTGTTAAAAAGCAAACAGTTTCAGGACATCAAAAATTGCACATTGTTGCCACGTTGCGGAAATAATAACTGCAAAGAAGGTGTAGAGTAAGATGTTTCGTAGATACGGCAGTGTTGCCACGTTGAAAAACAAATACCAAGCGGTCTAATTTTATTTTAAATATGAAATTCAGCGTGCCGATGCTGTAAAAGGGGCTAACCAACTTTTTAATGAATACATGCTCATAGTAACATATCAAAAATTAATAGCAATTTGGTGTTTTTTCGAATTACCCGCCCCCCCGCGAGCCGGGACCGACCCACAGCGAGTAATTTTGCGGCAGATTTTCGTGGGACGTTTCTGCAGCATCGAAACCCCGCGAGAGTCTGTCATATTTTTACGCAAAAACACCCGGCCGTAGACAGTGGCGGCTCGCGAGCCGCCCGCATTAAACAAAAAATCCACCGATCGTGACCACAGAATATATACAGTTAAAATACACAAAATATCAAACACAAGTACAATAGCCCGGTTGCACTAAGTGCTTCAAATGATTTTTTGCCCTTAACCACGATTACTTAGCTGAGCGACTATACACATATAGTTAAGTAATTCCGCCATTTAAAAAAAATTCTCCATAGCCCAAATCGAAAGTCCCCCGCGACTTTCGATCTCAGTATATTGTTTTCGATTTACCCGGGGCGGAGCGCGCGCCCATGATCAAAACCCCCGCGCGCGACGCCTATTTTATGTATTTTACAAGATATAACGACTAACTGCCCGATGACGTCGTGATATTTATTGTAAAATTACATCGCAAAAAAAAAACGAAAGTTTCGTTACAATAGCCCACACGTACAGGCGCGCGAACTGATCCGATCAGTTCGCGCGCGGTTTTTCAATTTTCTCACCGAATTCAGTTCCGAGTTTTCATTTTAGCGTTTTCGGACGCCGGCTGACGCGCGCGCGCGCCTTTTCCTGGTGGGAACCAAAAAAAGAAACAAGCTGTAGATACGAACCCCCTTCCCCCGCAACAATGTAGCCACTGGATGTTATGTAATGGCAATGTAATTCTTCCCCGTGTCAAGTTTTCGGATCCAAAAAACCAATGACAAAATCTCCCACGTTTCGGCCTCGAAATTTTTATATACGCACCTTTCTAAGTGACCCTTTTGTATATATACATATAAATATATATTGGACATTGATAGTGACCAAAATTTCGACCATGTATACTTCGAGTTTCGGCTTTCGATGTCGGCAGCAATGATAGTCACACATGAAACGCTTCCTTTTTAGAGTCTCTCTCCGTATAGGTATAATGCGCGGTTTAAAATTTGGCCTGCTGTCCGGCGGTGCGATGCGGATGTGGAGCTCTGCTGGAGCCGGGCTCTAAACGTCCACCTCTCTTAATTTAATTTTGAAAAATGCTTTTTTTTTAATTCTTTGAAAAAATTGGAGCTCCGCTGGAGCCGGGCCCAAACAATCACGCCATTTTAATAGACAGATGTTGTTTGTGTTTCAAAAATTTGACCTCAACTGGAGCCGCTCTCCAAACGACTACCTTTCGAAGTTTTATAGTCAACTACCATGAAATATTAAATTTAACAACGTCTATGTTTCAAAGCAAATGTAATTTTTAATTAATTGCTTGCTTTTAATGCTTTTTTTTTTAAGTTGTTTATAAAATTTGAGCTCCATTGCAGCCAAGCCCTAACAATCACCAACATTTTAAGGCATTTTAAGGAGCTCAACTGGAGCTGGTCCCTAGACCTCTCTAAATTTTAAACTTAACGACAACATCCGGTTTTCTTTTAAAAAAACAAACGTTTCTTCTTCAGAAGTTAATGTAAATTTATACGGAGTATTGAAGCTCAACTGGAGCCGGTCTCTAACAACCACTTCTCCAGGCTTATTTGCAATTTTTTAAATCGAGTGTTATTTATCATTGAAAAATTTAGTTTTCGTTAACAAGTTAATTTTGGTTAGTACGGTGACTGTAATTTTTCACTTGGTTCAACTGGAGGCGCCTAGTTTGCCATAAAAACCATGTTACTTCGGAGTTCAGATGTGGTTTTCTTAAAAATATTGTTTTTTAAGTGTTTTTTTTTTCATTAAAACATTTGGAGCATGCGTAAAATTGCGGACTCAAGCTCCACTTTAGGGTGCTATTTGAAGAAAAGATCAAAACAATATTGCTGAAAAGAAATCTTTCAGAGTTTGGTTTATTCTTTTTTATATATTTAGATTTTTAAAAAATCGTCTTCGCAATAAGAGCTAACGCGTGTTAGGTTCTTTAATTGTCGTTAGTCACGGTTAGAGCTTCTAATCTCAATCGCTCCGCCCACACAGCACAGTCATACGAACATTTTCCGGCAAAGGCGTAAATATGATTCAAATTTTCCCGTTTTTTGGTCACTAAATCGTAAAAGCAAAAAACACCGGTTCGTCACTAGTAAATTCGGTACCGCCACCGCGACGTCGCAACGCTATTTGTAAAATATTTAATGATATACCTAGTGTTTACAGATAATATAATAATAAAAAAAAGTATCGCAAAAAGCCCACCGCATCGGAAAACGCGGCAGCGTCAGTCTGCGTTCTTTAGTTCTTGAGTTAAAACAGCAATAGCCAAAACGGACGTCCTTGTCCCACGGGGCGGGACGTCCTATACAAAAAATTTGATACTCCATACTTAAGTTCTGGTTTTTTCGTAACTGCATTTTGGAGAAATATAAAAATTCTTGTTACAAAAACAGCGGTTGGTTTAGTCTGTATACACGCAGTGTCGTTTTTTAGTTTCACTGACAAGGGTTCGTATATTTTTTCAAAAACGAGTTACCTTATAATTTTTTTACAATAATATATAAATCAATATATCACATCTTTATAACTTAAACACACACACGCAGTTTCGGGTATATAAAAACAGTTTAATAAAAAAAAATTGTCGCGTTTTTTTTTTTTTTCGAAAAACTTCAATCGGACATTCGCTTTAAGTTTTCGATAATTTTAACACTTTTTCAAAAAAAAAATCCGCTTAAGATTTCGCCGGTGTTTTTCGTTCAGTTTCGAAATTTTACATTTTACACAATCCGTACGGTGCGGCGACGGAGAGGGAGTCGCAGGACGGCGTCGGGGGCACCTTCGACGAGCAGTCCCTGCGCCCCCCTCGGGTCGCCGGACCGCTTAATATTATAATAAATAATAAAAAAAAAGTCACTTTTGGGAAAAACCACAAACCGTTTAGGCCACTTGCAATTTTCAAAGCAGAGAAATCGAATGCAAAATTAAAATTTATAAAACCACATAATATATTTTAAAATAGTTGTAATAGTAGATAATTATTGTTAATGTTATGTTTTTTCGTCATTTGTTGAGCAAAGCCGTTCTGTTGATTTGCGGCCCCCCTCCACCCCCCACACACAAATTGTACCTAAGGTTTTTTGCACTTTTTTGGTGCAATTCTAAATTAAAATTCGATTTTTAACTTGAGAAATAAATTAACAATTTTACGATGACGCTTACTCACTTAATTAAATGCAAAAAAACACCTGGGTGGATTAGTAAGAAATTGTAATGTTGTTAGCAAAGCTTTTTTGTTTCGAAAAAAAGCCTTTATAAACAGATCCTCTCAACGGTTTATTTTCTAATTCTAATTTGTGTCATAATTTTAGCATTAATCTAGATTTTTTAACAAATATCTTGCTAAAAAAACTGCCTCTGCCAGGAGTATCATTAAAATTATGATAACGCTTGATCAATGCAGGTAGTGGAAAACATTATTTTGTCGTACTAAATTGAGATTTTCATTACGTAATTCCTGTTCTAATTTTCTAAACATATAGAACGATATTTATTACCTTGATATCAAGTAATGTTTTTTTTTATAAGTAAAACTCTTAGAAAAAACCAATTTTGAATATAATATTTTTTTAAAGTTGGCTACAAAAAATCTAATCCGCTCTGTGTTTGCCACGTGAAATTGTCATTTCGTAGTTTTGAAATGTCAAATTAATTGGCAAGTGTAGTTCGATATTTTGCCCATCCTGTTCGCCATACCACGACTTACCTGCGCTAGAATTACATAGTTGTTGTTTGTTGTTATACCCCCTTATGTAGTACGACTTTAAGTTATAGTTTTCAGCTACACGACTGTAACCGGGCGTAATATCGAGCTGCCGCGAAAACCTTAAGACAATTTGGGGCCGACGATCGCCAAAAAAAACCTCGCGACCACGCCCCCTCGGTGACGTCACGTCGGCATTTTCTATACTTAAATTATGTGCGTTGCCTCAAAGTCAAACGAGTGCAATATACATTGTTGTTGGCCATGTCGAAATTATGAGTGGGACGTGGGGTCTAGGGTTGACGGCGACTTTTCGAACATAGGGGCCGTATTTTCAAAACGTTGTAAATTTTTTAATCTGTAACGATAACACTTAAGCATTTTTAACGTATTCTGTTCGTATATTTAAGACTACATAGTTATGTTTGCTTGCGAGATGCCATCTATAACGACGTATCGACGATTTCCTTTTTATTTATTATTAGTTTTCAGATCCAAAATGTTCTACAGTTCGCATATACAAAAACAGTTACATACGGAATATAATTAGAATTATGTACTTTTTTTTATATATATACATATTTTTATTAACTTATGTGAGGCAGAGTTCGGGCACGGGGCGCGGTCCGGTTGGGCCCCCCAAGCTCGACATGCCGGTTTAAATATTACACTTTTAGGTATACCGTATATAAGAGTTATAATTTTTTTACTATACTCCAATTGCCATTTTTATATAATTTTGACTGCCATTTTTTTTGTTTCGTTCGATTTAACTTATATTTTTTCGCTTTTTTTTTGTAGTTACTCTAAGTTCCTATATTTTACTGTAGAGCAATTTTTTTTTGTTTTTTGGAATGAAAGACTGCAAGAATGGGTCACTCGTTTGCGACGACGCCAAAAATAAAAATTTACGTTTTTTTTTTTTCGTTCGTATCGGTTGTAAATTCGTGGGATCGGTCGAGGGGGGCGGCGCGAGCCCCGCCCGCGCCCGCGCGTCCCGCAAAAAATTGTACAAAATTAGTTTCCGCGTGTAAATTTCGGCGAAGTATTTTCGAAAAAAAAAAATGCGGCGGAGGCTGCGGCGCGGGCGGGCCGCGTACCCCCCGTCCGTGTAAATTTCGGCAATTATATATAGGTTAGGATCGGAATTCAACTGTGAAAATTCGAGGCATTACGCGAGATAAAAAAAATAAAATTTAAAATAATTTGTAAGATATAGGTTATTCGAAATTGTGAAAAGTTTTAGAAGAATTACGTTGCAATGTTTTTTATTTGAAAGATCAAATCAAATTCGATGTATGAAACATGTATGTGTGACAATGTATTAATTCTATTTACTGGAATAGCAATCATTAAAATTAACACTTGCGTTTTATTTCTCCGAACCGAAAGTATAAGGTGGGATGGGATGGGAACTAAGTAAGAAAAATAAGTCCGAGGAGAAGCAAAGAAACTTTTCAAAGATAAAGGCAGTTAAACATTTGAATAAGTGTTAAACTTTTTTTGTAAACATTATAATGTATAATGTAATGTATAATTTTGTAAAGATAATAATTCTATTGTTATAATATTTAAATTAGCTAACGTTGGATTAAAATCAGTTAACATAAATATAAATTTTAATATAAACGCATAACTAATTACAATTATGTGAAAAAGCTAATGGAATCCACAGAATATAACTAAAATTCGACGTATAAAAGCTAAATCCACAGAATATAACTAAAGTACGACGTGAAGAAGCGCGCACTCTGGAAGTATAAGTGCGAAATAAAAGAGCGAGGAAGAATTTTCCCAAACAATTGCGGTGCCGCAGTTACTTTTTTGCGGCGTCCTCTAAACTACACGATTAAGTTGCAGCTCTTATCCACAGGCAGCGGGACTATAGGAAATCTGAAATTTCCGCCTGCCGAATGGTCCGCTGCAAGAAGCATCCGTTTCGAACGAAAGAAAACTGTAGGACTAAACCATAGAACCAAAGATGGCGCCACGGACTTCCGTGTTTTTGTTGCTGCCGTATGTTTTGACATTCCGACTCCGGAACAAGTCCCTCGATGGCCGCTGCTTAGTTTGAACCGTACTTTTCTTTCTCCGTTAATTTTTAGGTTGATTTCGGCTGAGTAGAACTAAATTCTGCCGGCGAGATGCCCCTGCTCCCACCGGACCCCGTCTTTTGCCTCAAACAAGACATGGGACACGTGCACAGCATGTCCTTTACGAAAATAAACAATGACTACACTTCGCAACTTCTGGCAGCCACCGAAAAGGGAGACGTATTTTTTTGGGACTTGGAAGTAAGTGGTTTTTGTTGTCGGTTAGGTGTTTAGTCGTGGGACCTTTCCGATCGTACCAAGCACGTTTACATCGGTCAACTGTTGGCGCATGTGCTACCCAAAGCTAAACAACGCAGTAAAATTTGATTCACGCAATGTTTTTTGTTTAAGAAAAACTACGTCAATTTCATTTTTAGCGATAACAAAAAGACATTTTTCTAAAATAAGTTTAGGCCGCTTAGTCAATAGAATGAACCATATAGCTATTAGATAATATAGCGGCCCTACTACAATAAATATTGATGGGGTCAGGTGCCTATGATATTTTCCCAGAGATGAAAATGATCATCCACACATGCCTTTACATTTCACCTACTTTTTGCATGAAGATTTAATAAGACCTGGACACATTTTGAGAAAGCTGCGAAAAAAATGGGGCATCCAAAATGAAACGTAATTTCTCTCACCTGCATATGTTGAATGGACCTTCTCAAAGTTTTTTCGTAGTTGCTTCATAAGTTCCTCTATTATCAGGGCCTCTCTATATCTCCTCTAGCTGTATGGAGCTTTTTTTTTTAGACAAATCGTCTCCAACACAAACAACGCATGGGAGAATCAATCCAGACCATCCATTCTGTAGAGTACGACATCATTACGCAAGAGAAAAGCGGTTTAGTTAAGCTATGGTCCATCGAAAACAATACGGGATACAAAGTACAAAAGACATTCCAATGTTACGGCGGATTTTGCAAGAGCGTCATACTGGAAAACCAACAACTGATTCTGCCAGGCGAAAATAGCGTTATCGACGTTGTGGACGTTGATAATTTCGAAAACGTCAAGAAATTTGTACCTGACAAAGAGAAACTGGGCAACGTCATGTGCCTTCAGCCGATCGAAATCAGAAGGGGTCGGTTTCTATTGGCTGGATACGCAACTGGTTTGTACGATTTTTTTGAAAATTAAGGTGAACAATTTCTCCTCAAAAATTTTGATTTTGGACATGCAAACATGTTGAACATTTAAACAGTTTTACACCAACAACTTCTGCCACAATTAATTGCTCAAAAATTGTGAATTTTTAACAATTTTAATTCTAGGATGTGGTCTGTTTATTGTGGGATGATACCTTATGTAAAAGATGTAAAAAAAACTTGAACTTGTTTGGATTCAGTTCTACTTTTAAAATATTATGTTGCTATAAATACAGGGTCCTTTTTGTATATTAAAAGATTTCTGAATTCCTCAAAACTTTCTAGACATATTTTATATAACCTTAGGTTTCAAAGTTTCTGACATATGTATTTTGAATCATATGTCAAAAGTGACATTTGCAGGTGATTTTTCCGACTGAGAGCCTTTGTTATATAGTTTTGGTTGATTTCCTTTTAGAACGGGATCTACTTTAATGGTATGCGTTGACATTTAAAAATTCAGAAATACTGGGTGGCCAAAAACTAACGTCAAAAATTTGAATGAAAAAATCGTAATAAGTAAATTTTTCAAATTGAAAACGACCTACTTTTATTTTTCATCGCAACTGGGATTTGAAACAAATAATGACTTTATATAGGGTTTCCAAAAAGTTTAACAATAAAAGGTTTTTTGATGGGCTATGAAGATAATAGCGACCCATGGCAGGCAGAAAAAAAAAGCAGTCAACGAAGAAATGGCACCTATTTACTGTCCTTTGACATCATGCCTGGTAATTAAGTTTGTTATTAACACAAAAGTTTTTAAATTTGTTTAATATCTATAAATGGAACAAATTTTATCAAAACCATTTAGACATTCGCTGAAAAATATCTATATTGTATGTAGTAAAATCTACAAGTACTGTTAAATGAAAATTTTGAAAATTGTAGGACTCTTACATATAATTATAAGGCATATAAATTTATAAGGATGGTTGGCTGATGACAAAAAACTGACAGTCGAAGTTCGGAATTTTTATCAAGAATGAGGATGAGTGGGATATTTTCCCCGTGCAAGAAATTATGCAACATTCGTATTTTTTTCTGAATATTCAAAATTATAAAGTGTCTTTTTAATTTGGTTTATTTGTTATTATTTTCTCCATGCTTTATAAAAACATTTGATAGATTTAAGATCAATTTTCTTGTAATAAAAAATGACTATATTAGGTGGCATAAATACGTCAAACATTGATTTCCAAAGTCACTTTGTGTAGTGCTGGATCACCCTGTGTTTATTTATTTTTAAAATATCAGCACAGACCATTAAAGTATCTATAAGGAAATCAACTCCAAGTATATGACAAAGGCTTCCAGTCAAGTCACTTCAAATACAAATACTCTGCATATGTAGTAATATAATATTTTAAAAGTATAAATGAATACAAAGAACTTTTGTCTTTTATGTTTTTTAAATATTTTTAACAGATTCTGAGAAAATGTATCATCCCATAATAAATGAGTTTGTATCATATATTCTAATAAATAATAAGAATAATAAATAATTTATTTTAAGATAGAAATGAAGCGACCGAAAAATAGTTTTCTTTGTTTGATAGTCATGTATTTCTTAGGTGACATAATATTATTTGACTACAACACCGAGAAGCAGTGCGGCCACCTCAAACTTAACGAATTCCTAACGTCTTTGACTTTCGATCCATTCACTTGCCGTGGCGTCGTAGCAAACGCGTCGAATGCGCTGCAAGTGTTTGGCATCGACCCTGAATGCCTCCGGATGGAACTCAAGTGTGAACTCGCCCTCACCAACCAGGGTTGCAATGTTGTCAAGTTTCGGCCGGATAGGAAGTTGTTGTTTGCCGGTGGCTGGGATGGAAGGTTAAGGTAAGCGGGTTTGGCTTATTTGATATGCGGATAAGGGCTAGGTAGTTTTTAACCTCACTTTTCCTCGAAGATGATCATTAAATAATTAAATTATATACTCTACTTACCTCTGGAACAAATTTTATTCTTATGGATAGTTTGTGCATTGAAAGTAATATATCAATTTACGAACGATCCCAAACATTTGCCTTTACCCGGCAAAATTAACATTTTTTTATAAAAATATTAAAAAAATAGATTAGTTTTCAAACTGTTCAAAATTTTTGCAAATATTTTTGAAATATCTGACATGTTTGATTGTTTTTGCATATTTTTCAACAATAGTGACTTTTTTGAGAAAATGAAATAGTTGAGGTACTGTTTAATAGGGTTTAACGTTTTAAATCTAAATAAAATTTAGTTTCGGGCAAAGATTCTTCCAATTTTTTTTTAATTTTTTATCTATAAAAATTTTGTTTTGTTTGGCATAATTTTTTTGTTGAGAATATGTATGTGTCACACCTTTTATATTTCATCTAGTGTACCCTAAATGCTACTCTTTCTAGTCACTTACAGAGTATGAAAGTGCCTTAGGAGAGATAGAAACTGTACAGGGTTGTTTTCTTGAACTCCTAGCAAATCATGAATTCAATCAAAATCAAAATTGATGCGCCGCATTCAGCAGTGATATTTTCGCAGAGAATGCGATTTCCACACATTTAACTCGTTTTCCCAGAACATTTAGCGAAATCTAGGCATAATTTTAGAAAATACTGTTGCAATCAAAACTTATTGACGATCTCGAATTTCTCAAAAATTTTTTCATAGCTGCTTCATAGGTTCCCGTATTGTTGACATAGGGAGAGTTTCTATATCTTTATCTATATCTATATAGACTAAACTAACCTAACTAAATAATTACATATTCTTCGCTCCATCAGCTGCGATTTTACTAAAAGAATATTTTTTTAAAATCCCACATTTGTTGTTTGTTGTAGGTCTGGTACAGTTTTCTATATAGTAGTATATAAAAGTAAATTTTTCGTCAATATAGACCCTACAGTTACGGGCTTATTTAGTTTGTGCCAAAACTATTTAGTTAGGAACAAAAACGCAATAGAGCGTTTGGGTGTCATTTTGAAATTTGCAGGGTGTTTTCATGGAAAACTCTCAGGGCATTAGTGGTGCTGACCGAACACAAGAAGGCGATATCCGACATTCAGTTTTCTCCGCACAGAGTCAGGCTTTGGGATTCGAACATTATCGCAGCCAGCGGAGAGGACGGTCTGATTTCGCTGTGGAACGTCTACCACAATTACACTTATTGAGACGCTCGTCACCACATTACCGTTCGGTCGGTATAGTATAGTTAGGTTTGTACGATTTCGCGAGGCATTTCCCGCCTCCTGACTTTTCTCCATTGGCGCGGAATTTCCTTCTTCGACACCACGCGAGGATTTTACGAAATCGTCCATTCCACACCCCCTCCCCCACTTTTTTTTCTTTTCTTTCGAAAGCCAATTAATCGTAGGGACTAACCTCACTTTGTAGCGTTTCTTGGTTTTTACAAAATTTTCCGCCATTTTTTTTTTTTTTTTGAAACACATTTCCCCGTGCATTTAAGAATTTCGCGTCGCGCAGAAAGTGAGGCTGGATATTTTTTCTGCCGTTTTTTCGTTTACCTGATTTTTCAAGTTTCGCCCGCTTTCTTTTTCCGAACGGAACTTGAGGAGAATTTTTCTAGTCTGAACAACAAAAATTTAAACGATCTTCGCACAAAAATTTAAAAAATTCCCCTCTTTCTTTTCGAAGCCCTCGCCTCTTAAGTTTCCTGTCAAAAATTTCGGCTCAGTGGGAGACTTTAGGGATTGATTCAAAAGGATAATAATATTGAGCGTGTTTGGGACACCCATAATTTTTGATTTTCCCTTGTAAACTTTTTTCTCACACTTTTTGCGTCCGAATGCGGTCTCTTAAAAAAATTATCATCGTTTGTTTAGTGAATTTACGCATTAGACTGAGAGGAATTATTTTGCGAGAAAAATGATGCCAAGTGGTTCTCGAGCGAGGTAGAAAAGTTCGGAAGTTAACATCGAGACAACTATTTTTGAAAGAAAATTGCCATTTTGAATAAAACACAATAAATAATGTTCTGGAGTTTTTTTTACGACTATCGATCCAGATTTAAACGTTTCTTTCAAGGTTTTGTAAGTTTGCTCTCGCTCGCGAACTACAAATTTTATTGAATTGTCATAAGATTTTTAATTGTGATATTTTAGTGGATTAAAAATTCGTATATTTTTTCAAAAACAGTTTTATATACCATTCTTAGTAAAGTAATGAAAAAATAAAACGTTTCCGGATAGTCTGATGTTTTTTTTTTGCTGCTATCACTCCTTAAATTCCATCAGCTGTCCAATATAAACTTAGAAACATTTGAATGAACTTCCTCAAAAGATATGTGAATTCCAACACAAAGATTGATTCTTGAATTTTAAATTTGAATTAAAAGATTAATTTTAATGGATGTTGAGAGAAATAGTTAATCTTTGACTGGTACATTAGAACTACCCATAGATTTGAACATATGCGTAAGAATAACATACTTACGTTTTCTGTTAAGTAATGCCGAGCCAATCAACAACTTAAAGAAAAATAAAAGGGTTACGCTATATTGGACAGCACATTTCAATGTTTCGTTATTGCGTAAATATGGTTGAATAGATAATGGTTGGAACTACTGAAAATCCTAAAAGAGGAAAGCCCATTTTAGAAATAAAAACGCATCTGTTGGTTTAAATAAAATCTTTAATTGTATAAAAGGTAAGGGTAAATGATTACATTATCTTCAAATGTATAAAAACTCAGGTCATAAGTTAATATTGTGTTTAACAAAAAATTGCGTATGCTTCAATTAATAAAAATAAAAGCGGATTAAATGTCATAATGCTGGCTTCGGTGACGTCACAGACGAGCACCTATTGGGAACTGCCCCATGTCCGAATGGCCGTCAGTGCAGCGTTCAGCTTGTAACACCACTCGATCCTTTCCTCTTTCGTATCGGCCGACAACAAATGCCTAAAACACCCCCCTCCACATTAATTTTTATTTATTTCACTTTCTCTATCTCCACGAACCTTATCACAGTCTTGTCCCCCTTGCAAACCGTCACGAGCGAATCCTTGTCCTGCGGATACGCCCTCCTTTCCCTCTCCAACAGAAACGTGTGCAGTCTTGCGCAGATGTCGCGGCTGACGGGCCCCACGTGTTTCGTCACGCACCCGCTCAAGTCGATGGTGTCTATGGGGGCCTAGAAATAACGTCGCTTTTAAATAAGTCGTAGATGGGGTCTTTGAAAAGGGTACCATCGTTCTTTCGTCGTCCGGATATTTCCAGTAACTGAGCGAGTGGCCCTTCAACAGGCACCACCTCCTGTGCCATGCCCCGAAGCCCGATACGTCTTCGAACATCGTCAGGAAGCCTCTGTGTTCGATCGATACCGCCAGCTCGCAGCTTATTTTCATTTCCACGCTACCTTCCAGCGGACTAAGCGACGGCGTCTGCGAAAATTAGACGCGAGATGGCACGTGTGATAGCGGGTCAAATTTGAGAACAAACAAAAACAACTATTTTTTATTATAATTCTTAAATCAATATGTGCGCATCAAATTAAGAGCAAATTTGAATAAAGAAACAATATATATAAAACGCTAAATCTAAAACAAAAATGGAAGCATCGGTTAAACGTGGATCAACACTAAAATGAAAATTTTTTAAAAATAATAAGAAAACAAAATTAAAAATACAAATGGCACACAAATCAGACGAATAATACAAACGGGCATAACACCATCTTAAAAAATTACCACTAAAAATACTTAACGCTTAAATTAGCCCCTAGAGAAAAATAAATTTTCAAAAAATAGGTATAAAATCTTTAATAATTTGTGGTGATTTATGCTTATGCAATCTCATGACTTTGAAGTCTCCACTCGTGTGTTGCGGATTATTATTATTATATTGGAGAGACCAGACGAAAAATATCAACTAAGCTCTAAGAACATGAAAGATTCGATAAAACTTATTTTAATTTTATTCGATAAAGCTAAAATTCTTGCACATAATCAATTCTTCTACCAGTAAAAATCCGAGTCTATGGAAATCTATAAGAAACTTAACAATGTTAACTGTGACTCAAGTTTTTACCTGTCACCGAGACGGTGTCTATGCCCCTCATTTAGCTCCGCCCCCCTCAAACAATATAAAAGCAGGTACAGAGTAAAATGTGAGCCAGTTTCAGTCAAGCTCTGAAGAAGCCAACAGGATGATTGGCGAAACGTCGGCAAGTTCTACTTAACAAAAACCGACGCAGGAGGAATCCAGAAGTTTAATTAAAACTAATATTTTATCTTATATTTTATTTTTTACATTATTTTAGTTTAAGTTTGTGGTTATCAACTGTTTGTCTCTTTAACCGAAACATTATTTTTTTAAAGTCAAGTTTGAATTATGGTAATTAATAACGTGTTGACTATGCAGAAGAGAATTATTCAAACCTTTTGCTTTAAGAAACCTGGACCCTCCTGTCGAAAGGTTTTCAGGGATTTTGGTATCATGACAGTGACTTATATTTATATAGCTAATGCTGGGGTTTTTGTTAAGAACATCGAAGCAGTTATTGAAGCTGGTGTCAAGAATCATGATTCGGGCGCCAGCTAACAGCTTCTATGCTCCTATCAAAGTTTTAAACCACCTTCCTATCAATTGCTCAATTATAGTTTCTTCTTCTTAAGAGAATTTTTTGATTGTGACATTAATGTTACCTAAGATTGGTTCTATATTCCTGCACTGTTCTGTCTTGATTAATATTTATTTTCTTTAACGCTTTTTACGATACTATAGTAACCAGTGACCAATCAGATGGTCATTAATGACTCTTGTTGTGACTATCTGAATAAATAAATTAATATCACGACTCACGTTGTTCAAACTCCACACCTTCTTGTTGACCGCCCGAACCGAGAACACCACGTAGCCCATCATCGCGAACGACGAGGTCCTGACAGCTTGTGGGCCTCCCGGCGACTCCTTAGGAGGCCTGAGCAGCCTGGACTCCTGCTTGCCCTTCTTCGGAGTCGTCACGCCCTTGGAACCCTGTAAACAAGATGCCCGAACAGTCGAAGAACTACTAATTTATCCCAAGTTCAAGTGTACCTTTTTGTGAATGTGGTACTTGACCTCGTGAGGCAGGCACTCCTCGTGAGCTTGCAGACAGTACACCTCGAACGTGACGGTAAAGTCGCTGTAAATATTTTTCAACGTCACTGAACCGGGGATGTACAGGTCGACATCGGGATTTTTCGAACTCGTGGCGACGGTCGAGACGAGCTTGGTGGACGCCACCTGCTCGCCGCATTTGATTAGGCATACCACGTGGTGACCCTTGCCTCCAGCTGAAATAAGAACACATCGACGCTGGCAAACGTTAAAAAAAGAAAAAACCAGGTCGCACCTGCGGCCAAAGCCGTGACGTATTTCTGCTGCAGCGGCAGCACTATGTTGGAGATGGTCAGAGTACCCTTCTCCAGGGGCAAATCCTGCGAGTGCTCCTTCCTGGGGCGGAGCGTACCCTCCACCCTAAGCCTTTGTAGTTCGTGGAGGGCGGCCTGACGTCTGTGCGCTGAAACCAACGGAATTTACGTTAAAAACGCGGGACTTCGAAGAGACGGCCGACACGTACTAGCCACGAGGAGAACTCTTTCAGCTTCCACCTGCTCGGTCGAGCCGGAAAACTCGGGAGTGCTGCTGCACAGGTTCAGCGCTTGGCTTGTCTGCGAAATGATGTTTTGCTGCTTGTTAACCTAAAACACACCCAGACGTAAACGAGGCGAGTGCTTCACGGAGGGGGCGGAGCGTACCTCGTCTTGCAAATCTTTAATTTTGCGTTGGATCTCGTCGCTATCGCCACCGCCACACTCTGTTAACGTTTCTTCTATTGGCGGTTGCCTCACTATTTGTCTACGAGCCGGTGTGTGAACCTATGTTGCGTAAAGATTTTTTTCAAGGATAGAAATAAAAATAAAAATTTAAGTAAGATCAATGATAACCTTATGAAGCGGTTGTCTGGTGGGCCCAAAACCATGTAGGTGGGCGACAAGGCAGCTGAGTAGGGTGTAAAGACCAGCCCACTGCAGCGCTGAAGATCTTACTGAATATTTCAGAAATACAGGCGAAGCAAGGTCCTTTGAATAGAGATTACTGCAAACTAGTCGCCAACAATTGGTGGACACAGCAACAAACATGACAGGTTCTACGGGAAGATAGAGGCCTGTGGACACCTTTACTGGTGAAAAATGGCTCACCCATAACGCGAGCAATTATCTGGTATACAGACAAAAACAGAAGGAGTAAATATATGAACCCAGGACTAAAATACAAATTCCTATTCTAATGGACAAGCTAGTAACAGTGTGCTAAGCAGAGATTACCACACTAGAATACTTTAATCAACCAACTGCGATCTGCACCGAGAGTCAAGCGGCAATGAACGCTCGCAATACAACAAAATAACATCTTAGTCTTGGATTGTCATAAGACCTTAAATGAGATAACAAGTCGTCAGAATAAAGTGACACTGTCGACTAGCGTACGACGGCCCCAAAAGTGGGGATGACTAAACCCATTGAAAAATCAGCCATCAAGAAATGGATGGATGAATGGAACAAAAGAAAGAATAATATTAAGCCTACTGAGCAATTGCCGGCTTAAGAAGCATTTACGCTTAATGGGAATTGAGGCAATAACTGAATGCAGATGAAGAAATGGAAACAACCACACACCTACTATCCCAAAGTGAAGGCTTATTAAGAACGCGCTTCCATGTGTTAGGCGTAACCAAAACCTTGGGTTTCATGTTTTTAAAGCTTTTTCATACAATTTTTCGGGCTTTCGTTGCTTCTCTTCATATAGGGTAAAAATTTTGATAAAACAACACTTGTCCATTTGAACTACTCGCATCGACATCGACGAGATATTCACCTCGTTCTGCTGTTTGCGGTAAAAGCTGACCGTGTGGGTCAACGACATGACGTTGTCGCCATCCACCACGAGAGGGAGCTCTGTCGACTGCCTGGGCGTGTTGACAACCGTCTTCATCGGCGACTGAAAGCTAGAGTTTTTCGGTCCTGCCGACGACACCGACGAATTGAAGCTCTTGTAATGGAACGAATTCGAAGGCTGCGCCCTATGCTGGGACTGGAACCAACATAAAAACTGAAATTAAAAAAAAAACGCCCCGTCTAGAGAGAATTTATAATTACCGGAGGCGAAACGTGCCGCCCTTGTTTGGGCGGCGTCGGTCCAGCGCTACTCATGTCGTCCTCCATTTCTTCCAGAATTTCGTCTAGTTCGCAGGCGAGACTGGAATTCTCGCTGCCGGTACTGTCCGGGTATGGCAACTGCAATGAGACGCCAAAAATAACACCCGCGGTAGTTCGTTTGTACCGCACACTTACCCGCTTGGGGGACGCGTGATTTTTGATAACCGCCTGCAGTATGTCCCGCCCGAAACTGGTATTCGGGTCGTCCGAATCGTACCGGTTATCCCCGTCGCTGTCAAAATTAGGGTGGGGTTTTTACAGGAAAGAAACGTTTCGCCATGTGTTAGGGATGCCTGAGAGATGAGTTAGGCATGCAAGGATGAACGGGATGAAAAAAAGCGTTTGCAACTAAGAAAACAAAGTTTATTTGCGGAAGTTCTCGTCAAAACGCAAAAAAGGAACTTAATTCTAGCCAAAAGTAGCCTGGCGAGGTACGCACACATAAAATGGAAAGACTCGAAACTAAAACTATGAAAAAGACGACAACGAAAGAGGAACTAAACACATGTTTAACATTAGCCTACAAATCTCGACACTTAATACTGATATAGGTACGTTAATACTAAGACAAGGAGCCCCTACTACCCACACGATCACCACAAAAGTCACGCCAAACACAAACAAAATAATATCCATTCGGTAAGAGTGGCGCACCTGGTATTGTTTTCGTCATCATCGTCGTCGGGAGATGGCGAGCGGGTTTCGGCTTCGGTGGTGGTACCCTCGATGTCGGACAAATTAGGATACAATCTCCCGGCTTTTGGAGGAGATACTTTTATCCGTTTGACGTCCTCCAAGACCGAGATTACATGCGGACTGTCCGCTTTTGCTAGAATTACATTCGCATTCAGTTATAACGGCCCATCGCGGTTCCAAAAATGTTTCATTATTTGGTAAAAAAGCACCTCCAGGTAACCTTACCTCCGTTGGTGTCGCCGCTCTTCCTCTTCTCCGCCGATTTTGGTACGTTCTTCACCACCGTCGGTTGTTTCTCCTTGATCATGGCGGTACGTTCGTCCACGACGTCGGCATCGTCGTCCGGTTCGGATTCATCGGAAACCTCTCGGATTTCATCGGACTCGATCGTCTGCAAATCGGGATCATCAAAATAAGAAAAACAACACCCTTTTTTAATAAACTGTACACAATTTAATGGCGATTTAGTGACGATTGGCGAAACATGAGCAATTTCGATTCATCAATAACAAAGGTCTATAAAAGTAAACTTTTTGACAGATTTTTTAATTTTGAAACTGATTTTTTTGGTAAGTTGTTTGTTTTACAAATATTAAAGGAAAAAAATATCTGTAAAATAATTTATGCTTTGAATCAGTAAATAAATGGAATCCTACTTAAAAAAAGACCTTTTGTCAGAAAGCTGCGTTGTTCGGACATTGTGTGTTTTAAGGGCATATCCAGTTGTAACATCCAGCAGTAGTCCGCCATCATCGTTATGCTCCATTTGCCTTAGTATCGCCGTTCCATTTCCTTAGTGTCCCTATTCTTCGCTAACTGCTCCAAGATTTTCAGGAAAACAGTTCATGTGTGAAAACAAATTTTGAACAATACTTTCGTAGTTTTCGTCCTTGGAGTGCCCAAGAAACTAACCCATAATTGCGTTTTGAAAACAAAAATGCCTTCTTTTATCTTGACATCAGATATGGCTGGAAATTTCGGGAAATATGAAACACTGTCCATTTTTGTCAAGGGCTTTAACCAACTGCTTCACCAAGCCAAGTATGATATGAAGAGAAGGCTGTAAAAATTTTTTGGGGGCAACTAAGCTATCCCTTAATACATTTTTGCTACCAATTATAAAACTTGTTCGAGAGGGCCATTCTATTTGAGTCCGATAGACATTGCCCGACTATCCCAGTCACAAATAAAGGATGGAAATTTTGTATAACCCCGTTGTCCTAGGGAGGACACACTTTAAGGTCACTACAAAGCATCCACTAATGTTCTTCGCAGTTTATTTTCTTCAAAACAAGTCCTAAATTTTCATAAGTTTCTTTTAAATGTACTGAATGTGCAACGGGAACCGAGGCCAGTTCAATAAACAGGCGCCATTATTCTTTTATATCCGACACATTTCCTAGGCAATACACTAGAGGTCCTTAGTGAGTAAAATATTGTCATAATACTTTTTCGCGACCCTGGTAAAAGCTCGGCGCCACTAAATGCTTATCACGAAGCCTAGAGACTAAGAAAAATTTAAAAAATAAAAATTTTTATTGCCGCATTTAGCATTTACAATATAGTTTAACCTAAGAAAAATAAGAAAAATAGTAGTAATACTTAATTCAAACAACACAACAAAACAAAAATAGTCTTCTTTACTTTACAATTGAAACTACTGAGAGAGTCAAAAAATCAATCAATACGCTCGTTATTTGCGAGTAAAACATTTGCCAGCTTGCACATTCGATTCAAAGGTGAAATATGAGAATAGGAGAAATATGAAAACCAACAGATGCCAGATCTGGTGCATCCATCAAGTTATTAAGGATTTGGTACAATGTAGAGATGTCAAAAAATATACTCCTACTCTCTAAAGATGTCAGATTCAAAAGCTTCATAATCTCCTCATAGTTTATTTCCTCAAATGACATTCCCAATTTAAAACCTATCCGTCTAACGCTGCATACGCTCTATTTTTTTAGAATTCGGATGCTTCCTTTGGAAGGTGCAAATCTCTAATTAAATCATTTAATTTGCTCTGGTTAAACACCTCGGGTTCTCTGAAATCTTGTGTGAAATCTGAGTCATCTTGGCCGGAATTAGATTTCTCTGATTTTGACGATATGACGTTTCCTAGTTCTTTTGGGGCCGTATGGTCCATGAGGAACTGGTCGAATAGCAGAGTCAAGTTTGGGATACACAATCCTTGAACATTACTCGAACAAAAATAACAATCATCACTGTGATTCCTAAGTTCTCGCCATACCATAGAAACACCAAAGATTAAATTTCTTTCTATCTTTTTGCCAGCGTGGCAAAGAAGTTTCCCTTTGCTTTATTATGACATAACTACCACAGATATAAGCAAAATTATTTCTTCTTCTTTCCATGTCTATACGTTCTAGAACACTAGAAATATGCAACGACGAAGACAACAGCGGCGAACACAATAGCACGCCTACCAAACTGCCCATAAGCAGGTTACAACGCTGTATTGACGCTTCTGCGCCAACTCTGTTGCTTTGCAGAGAAATATAATATTATCCAGTGTTGCCAAATCACATTTAATTTCATAAAAATCAATTTTAGGATATAGAACGCAATAAAAAAAATAACGTGATAGAGCGTTTTTTGGAAAAAGGCCCATTAAAAATAAATACAAAAACAGCTTGCAAATATCAAAATCACTGTAGACTTGTGTAACTGATGTACAAAGAATCCAGAAGATTTGTAAATAGTATAACAGTAGTCTGTGTGTGTTAAACTCAGTTTAAGCCAACAATATTTTCGTATCGTACAAATGTTTATAGTTTTTATAGGATTTTTTTTATATAAATACTGACCCTAAAAAGTTTAAATTTTTATTGTTATAAATCGCTCGAATTGTCTTAAAAGGCATTTATTAATATTAAAAAAACGTTTTAAAAAATAAAACAAATGTTACCTACCCCCTTGTTTTTATTGAAGCGGTTCAACAACAGGTCCATCTCCTTGCGCCTCTCCTCCCTGATCTTGTTCGCGATCTGCTCCTCGGATATCGTGGACTTGTTCTCCAAGAGCGCGGCCATTTTGCTAGCGATGCCACCCGCTTGGTGAACGACGGCGGTAGTGGCGTGATTCACGGGCTGCGGAGGCGGTTTCGGCGCCGGCTGCTTCGGTTTCGAGGTCCCTCGAGTCACGACGGGGTCCGATTTTTCGAAAATCACCCTCTTCTCCGACACTTTCGGCTCGTTCTCCTTATTAATGCCTTTTTGCGCCCCGATAAATTTGCTCTCGCATGCTTTCATGGTCGTGTCTACTTTGACGGGGGCGGACATGCCGAAAGCCGCTTTGGGCACCAGGGCTCCGCCCTTGTTCTTTTCGAACAACGCTTTACGTTCGGACACGCTCAACATGGCGGGATCTCTGGGCGGTTTCGCCGGACTCGTCGGTTTCGATTCGAACATGGCCGCCCGTTTGGCTATGGCATCCGACTTGGTTACTGACTGAGGATTCTGCTCGGCCTGTGCCCCCGGGGCGGTAGTCGAACCCCCCTGCGAATCATTATAGGAGTACACTAGGCGCGAAGAGGAGGTCGTACGTGAAAAGCCCTGCGATTCCTGCAAATATTGCAACGCAAAAGTTTGTCTATTTGTCCCGAGACGTAACCCAGAGCATGCATTTGTTTATAAATATTTCGTCTTATCAATGTATGAAAACCAAAAATTTCACAATGTGTGCCATGAGTGGTAATTCTTTTTGTTATTATTTAAAATGATTAAAATCTTTAAAAAACAGCTTTACTTTCATTTAAAAGATCAACATTTATCTGGTGTTGGTGTTGCTATATGGCGGATCAGTTATACAAGTAAAAATGGCCACGCTGGGTGTGTTGCCTTTCTCGCTTACTCTTTGGTGTGTTTAGTTAAATTTCTATATTAAATTTTATCATATAGGGTACTTTAATAATACACTATGCAAATGTATGTAAAAAAGTTTACCAAAGCTATTGCTCACTATACTTTTTCCATGACAATTTTTCCATTTTTGCAAACCATTCCCTGACATGAGGGTCACGACCCGAAATGTCTGAAGGGGCTCGCAGCCGAAGCAAACAAAGGGAGTAGAGAAAGCAAATCAATGGCATTCTTCAGGTGCAAATAATACAATATTGATTCTATCTAAATCCACAAGATAATTCACAGTTTGCTTGACCTGTTTTATTAATAAAATCCTATTTGCATAGTGCCAATAACCATTTAGTGAAATTTCAGTGGTGATGTTAAGAATAATTTTAAAAGTTCTTAATCTGGGTAGAACTTTCCATTCCATTCATCACCATAAAATGATCAATAAGGGGCAATTACCGCAATTAAAAAGGGTCTTTTACGACTACCTGTTAGTCTGGGGTTTCAATAATTTCCCGCGTGGAAGGGGAACTACTAACCTTCATATTTCAGTCTTGGGTGAAATTATTTAAATATAAATGATATGATAAATGAACAACAATTAAACTCAACAAATTATAATGACCAGACAAATACCCCCCCACCCCCCGGCATGTATTACATAACCTTGACAGACTTGCAATAAATAAAGAAAAAAACTAAAAAGTAAAAATCTCACCAAGTTGTCTAACACCGACTTATCCCAGTTCAATTTTTTTGGTGTGACCCCAATGCACTGTGCATCGCCCTTTGTAGGGCTTACCGCACTCTTTGTAGGACTTCTTGCGCCCTTTGTAGGGCTCCCCGACGCCGTGGGAATGCCCGAGTCCTTTTTAGGACTCAAATTCAATATCGGAGGACTTGGTGCTTTTGACTTCTGATTCTTCAAGGGAGATTTTATGGGGGGTTGGGGAGCGGGTGCTTTTACGGTTTTACGCGATGAACTCGCCTGTTTCTCTGCCTGAGGAACCTTGAAAAATAAGCCAGCCCTATTTTTATATTCACTTCAATAACACTATGAATATGTACTTACAGGGTGACTCAGATCATCTTCCCAATGATTTATTTTATCAGCAAGGTCAGCAAGCCTGCTTAACCCTTTCTTGGGTTTTGTGTTAGCAATTTTATCGCTAGTCGAAACACTTTGTGTATTTTCCAAACCTTCATAAAACTTCGCCTCTGTTCTATGAATAGGGGAAGAAATGTCAGCATCATCACCACCTTAAAAAGAATTTTAGGGCAAAATATTAAACATAAAGCTTTTTAATAACAAAAACATACCAGCGTACAATTTTCCTAGCCTCTTGAGTCTATTTTTTGACTCCTCTCTAAGGCCACTCTCACTGCAGTGACTGCCAGCATCACTGATGTTGCTATCTGCAATACTATCATCCTGTTCCTCAATTTCAACTTGTACGCGAATATTCTCAGCCGAAGTCACCTTTATTTCCATATTAAAATTATCCCGCTGTATATTTAAAGTTTTTGCCTGACTTGCAGGGCTGCTAGGCATATCTGATGTAACCTTGGTTAAAGAATTTTGCCTAAAGAACTTTGGAGTGTTACCTTTACTGGGAGAATCAACAGGGCTTAGTTTTGAAGGTAAGTTAGGGTCAGAAGCTACCTCTTTACGAGGTAATGAAATGACTTCGGAGAGATTGGGCTCTGAAGACGTATTTTTATTTATATCCCTCAGGCGGGTAGGATTTTCTTGTCCAGAATAACCCTGAAGGAGTCGCTGACGCTCCCTAGCCCTCGCTAGGATATTCTAATCAAGAACGATAGGCATCAGATCACGAGAAAACAATGAAAAATAGCAAACATATTACGTACCTCCGTGAAAGCATCCATTTTTAACAACACTTTCTAATTCCTCAATTAGCCCGTGAAACGAAATAAAACCGCAAGTCTCGAGTCAACTAGTCATGAAACTTATTGCGGTGATTTCAATTGAAATAAACCAACGAAGCGCTAAGGTTAAATCTAACCGTTTCCACGCTTGTTTATTTTTAACGTCTTTGTAAACGACAAGACAACGATTATTTCAAAAATTCATAATTTTTGTAACGGTCGCCGCCAGGTAGCGTACCAGTACTCTATTTAGGTTACCTTAGTGAATACGTGGCTAGTTGCGACAAACAAATTAGACAAACTTCAATAATTAGTTATTGATTAACTTAATAAATAAAGATTAAATTAGATGACGTGGATATACCGGTAACTAATTCCGCCACGAATTAATTATAATTCTAAATTTGTAGTTCTAAACTTAAAGCCTGCGCGTTGCGACATCTCTTGCACAGTAGGCGAACACAGTATTAGAGAAATCTGCAAAATATAAAAAGCGGTGGTATACGTGACTAACCTAAAACACATGATGCCTACAAAAAAAACTGCTGTCATAACAATTATATTTTGAAAATTATGGCAATTAATCGTCCAACATTTACAACAAAGCATAACGAAAATTGAGCTAGATAACAAAGACTCGTGATAAAAAATGCGATCGCATACCAAAGAGGTTTGGGTTTGCTTTGTGTTTATCTATTGATTTTTACTCCCACAGTTTTTTTTTTCGTAGTTTAATTAACTAATATATTAATATGAGGAGTCTGGAACCATTCGCTTAAATTATGGAAAAGGAATTCGTCGGTGCAGCGATAGAGAATCTCTATCCGGCTCTGTCGCAATGCTTTGCGATTATTATTTGCGGGTGAGCTCTTTTATACTCTCCAGAGCTCGCGTTTTTGTGATTATTCATTTATTGTAGTTATTTTGCCGGAAGAACGAATCTAATCTCAGAAACGGAGGCGAAGGGTATAAACACGTTCGTTGGCACTTTCGCCTTGCCCTCGCTAATTTTTATGTCTCTTGCCGAGCTGGACCTTCATGCTGTGAACTGGATATTTCTTTTATCCATACTGATTTCGAAAAGTATTGTGTTTTTTTCTGTGATAGTTGTAACCTTATTAGTTGGTAGACCCGTAAATTTAAGTAGAGCTGGCATTTTTGGCATATTTTGCACCCAAAGCAATGACTTTGCTGTAGGATATCCCATTGGTAAAACTGATTTTCAATGAATTACTCCACATATAAATTGATTGTTTCAGTGGCGGCTTTGTATAAAAACACCCACCCAGACTATGCGTCTTACTTATATTTGATGGCGCCGATTAATTTGGCTATATTGAATCCCATATCATTTGTTTTGATGGAAATTAGTAAAAGAAGACACTCTGTGGCACCAGACGAGCTGTTGTTACATAGCGACATGACTGACTCTATGGCCTTACACAAAGAAAGATGTAAAATGGGTGTCAGCGTCGCTAAAAATATTTTCTTAAATCCCATCATATTGATGACTGTATTAGGGATTATCGGTAATTATGCTTTCAAGCACAGTGTTCCCCTGTATCTGGCTGGCATTCTGAATGTAAGTTTACCAATATGAATTGCATAAATTTTTATTGTTCTTATCAAATCTGGAATTACAAGGTTATAATTATAATATAATAAGTGTTATGTTACTTTTTAAAATTGGACCAGGTAGATAGTTTAATTCTACCCATTTATTTTCAATTTTGTTTTACTCGCTACGGAAAAATGGGACGTTGCTTCTGCAAGGGGTCCATAATCAATTTTATTTTCGGATTTAAAGAGAGCCCTGCTCTCTCTCTGTCCTCTTTACATTTTTTTTTTAAATTTTACTTTATTATTGTTTAAATTTTTGAGAACACTTTTTTCACTACATGTTGAACGGCTTAAAAAAATAATAACTAAACAAAGCTAGCAAAAGATATTTCAGATGTTTAAGTGGTACGTAAAACTGAAATTTATTTTTAAATTCTTTCTCTAGATATTGCTTTTAAACTTAATAGGTATTATTTCCACATAAAAACAAATTTATACCATAGATAATCAGCTTTTTGTTTAAGCAGTGGCTTTCGTGAGACAGTTTTAATAAAAAAAAAGTGGTGCCCTCATGGTTTATCCCAATTTTGTTTATAAATTTAGATACCTTCAATTCTAAATACAAACGTCTCTTCAATTTTTTGGCTAAAACAAATCGTTTTCGTAAAGTTCAAATTTGTATGTAAAACGATTCCAGGAATTATACCAAAAACTTAATAATTAATTTAGTTAGAAAGCAAAATCTAGAAGAGATTTTTTTAAAATAAAAACGATATTTTTTGCAATATTTCAACGCCCTGTATCTCCGATATGAAGCATTTTAGAACACAAGTTTATATAATATTTTTTACTTATTTTTATCTGCTGAAACGCTGTTAAAGTTTCACCATTATAATTTGAAACACACTGTCTAACTTTTCTCTCTCTCTCTCTGTCTCTGTCTATCTTGGGATAGAAAAACGGAGGTCGCATTTAAAATATTTCGATTAGTTGGACATAGTAGTTTATCTTTAGTAACAATTGCCAGATTTTTACTTGGTCTGGTCGCACCTTGTATGATATACGAAACCCTCAAACACAAAATTTACTTACACGCCAGATATACAGGGTACATTTTTTTTACATTGGTTTGCCGTTTGCAGGGTTTGGGTTCAGCTTTTTCAGCCAGCGCCCTGTTCCTGTTGGGCTTGCGGATGGTAGGCAAAGTACACCAACTGCGGGGCGCTACTCTTGTCGTTCCCGGCATATTAATCATGGCCAAATTGTAAGCTCCGCCGCCATATGATTTCTGCCCATTCTCGCAACTTTCCATTTTAAATTTTTCAAGGATCGTCCTGCCTGTGGTCACCAGGGAAATGATTACCCTGCTGAACGCAGGCTACAACAAATCCGAAACGTTGGATCTGAGTACTTACGGCTTTTTCTACGGCACGTTTCCCTCCGCACCCGGAGTTTTTGTGTTTTCCACTCAATATGGGGTCGATGTAGACTTGGTAGGTCAACTGTTTCAGCGAAAATATGTTTCTTTTATATTTTGAAAGTTATCTATTCCAGATAGCTAGCGCGATGGTGGCATGCACGTTCCTCAGCGCTCCGCTGATGTTTGTGTCGGCTAAAATGATAACCCTGACCAACTGCGACCCGTCCGAGTACATAAAGCAGCTCGATTCGTTCATATTTGACGTCAGCATTGTGGGCGTGGTCGCCTGCTTCTGGGTCGTTTTGATTTTCGTCCTGACGAAGAAAATAGCCAAGATTCCGCACAAGATCACAGCCTGTCTGGTCGTGTCACACGTGAGTACTTAAGGTCGAATTTGGCGCCCCCCTATCGAAGAATATGTCGTGTATTTAGTTCGTCAGCTGCTTAGGAGCGATATTGTGGAACGTCATACAGACGAGGCACCGCTACGTCCAGTTCGTCTTCTTCACCGCCGGAGTTTACAGTTCCAGGTTGTGGACCGCCATCTTGTCCATTACCCTGTTGTTTTTGCAGTGCCGAAGTTTGTGTTTTGTTCTCAAACTGCTCCCGGCGTTTTTCGTCACCGGGTGGGGGTAAGTCCACACAGTCCTAATACCTCTCTTGTATCTATTATATAGATTACATATGCCGATGATACCCAGCTGTTAAACACCTTTCTCAATATACCAGAAAAAAAGTCCTAAGCTAAATGATAAAATAAATAAATAACTGATTCAATTTTTACTAGCAATTTTTATATTTATCCAATGTCTAGAAATAACGGTTGAATAATTTAAGAGATGATTTTATGTGAAAAAATTATAATGGGTCCGAGAATGCAGTTTTCACTTAAATTTTTGTTTGTTTGTTGTGATTAATTAAGACTATGAATTGAAGTGGCGTTCCAAGAGACACCCTATTGAATATTTTTTACACAAAAATGTGCGCCACTGATTTTTTTTTTTAAATTCAACTTTTTTGTTTCTTGAGAATTTTTTTCTAAATTCCTAAATGCAATCAATTGAATTTTATTTATTTATTCAGCATAATTTTTTTAAATTGAAACTCGAATCTACCTGTAATATTTAGAAAAGCAAATTAAGGTCCATTTGTTGGAGTTACGAAAATCCCTAAACAAGCTATTATTCTACCAGTAACGAAATTTGTATTATTATTATTATTTTAATTGTAATAGATACCCTTAGATAATGAAATTAAAAATCAATAATCAATTTTGAATGTTTTATATCTTATTTGTTTATAATTTGGAGAATTTGAAATTTATGTGGTAAATACTTTGGTCCTTCCTCTATTAAAGAATACTAAAATGATTCCCACAAGTTATACCGTTTGTCGTCAGAAACGGTTTTTGCATAGGGTTGCAAATTCATATAGAATAATTAATTATATTTAAATGGAAGGGGCTGGGGGGAATTTTACGGTATCTGTAGATAGACCTCATTGACCTCTATCTTTGATAAAAAATTTAACGTTCCCAGAACAACGTAAGTATTTGAAAAAATTTAAAAAAATTATAAATGCAGGGTATACGGGAAAATGGGTTATATCGATAAATCATCGATAATTTATCGATACTTTCAAAAAATAATTACAAATTCGAATTTCTCATCCTCTAAAACCCCCCCATGCAGAATTTTATCCAGTTTTGAGAAATCACCTCGAAATCGCGTATCGGTTTCAAAAATCGGCCCGAAAATCGATGGTCGATATTCAAAGTTTAATATCTCGCTTATTTATAATTTTGAGAATTTGAAATTTATACGTTATATACCTTCGTCCTTCTCCATATTGTTGAAAAAATAATCTATAGTATAGGGACAAACTGAATAACTATGTCTCCTTAAATGTACCAAGATTAATTGAATTTATTAGTATTAAGTATTGTGTTCTTTCAATCAATCTTTTTGCCGTCACAGTAAAAGACTTGAAAGCTCTTTTTAATTAGATTTATTTGTTATAATTTTGTGTACTGTTCAACTTTGCATGTAGTGTTTGTAATTTTTTCCAATAAATAAATAAATATTCTATATGTGATCGTAAGATCATAAGCTAGACTTAGTCTTGAGATATAACTGTAGAAGTGTATATTAGTCTATATTGGCAAAAAGTAATTTTTGGCCAAATTTTGAAGAATAATTTAAAATATCTCAATAATTATTATTATTATTAATATTTTTATTAGTTTAACCCAGATTTAATTATTTTGCCGAGACTTTTATAGCGGATAAGATATTTTTCCTTGGTACTAATTAAACGAAGCAGTTTGTCAACAAAATATTCATAACCATTTACGTATGTTTTGCAAAATTAGGCGATTTGTTGAACTAAAAAGGTGTGCGGTGTGCTGACCTGCGTATTTCTCCATTTCCGATAGTTGTTTGAGCGAACGAGTCGGCAACTCTGGTCTAGAACATCAGAGGAGCAACACTGTCGGGGCAGAACTTAAAAAATAAATGTTACGAAGCGTAGCAAATTGGTGTTACGTTTTGTAGTTGCACTCAAATCAGTACAGTCCTCTTGAAAATTTAACGGTGTTTTCATCACCAAATAATGTTTTTCTTAAAGGGTTCCAATTATTGCATGTACCGCTCTGCTAGTTTTCGATAAGACATCGAGGGTGTCCGTCCAGGACAATCCCAACTTCGCTTACGGCGCGCCGCAGGCGATAATATCCGTGTCCCTGCTCATATTATGTTTTGTGGGTAAGTCTTTCCACATATTCAGGACTCGCTATTCTAATATTTATTCATTAATTTTCAGTGACCGCGGGTTGCCTAATCCTGCACCAACGCTACCACCGACGTTACAGCAGGTACCTCGACCTGGTCAACGATATAACGTCGGACTTTGACCCTAACTTGACGTCAGAGGGCGAGTCGGCGTCTTCGACGTCGATCAACGTCAGCCCGAACCAGTCTTGCAGCTCGGACAGCGGCGTGAGCTGCACAAAAACTTCCAAATGCTGTGGCCTGCCGACCATAAAAGAAGGTCAGTCCGAAGACAAGGAGGTCGTCGACATCGAGGATCTGTTGAACACTTCGGGCCAGAGCAAACGAACCTCCACCGAGTCGATTCTGAACTCGATGAGTCCGCAACAGAACGAGCTGTGCCCCACCAAGTTTGGTTGCGAGGGGCCACAACGGGAGACGTGCAAGGGCGTGGTGAGGCAGTATCGGGAACAGATCGATGAAGACCTGGAACCGATCGAAGAAGACCCAGAGTCGCACGATCCGCAGATATTCAGGCACATCGTGTTGTTGATTTTGCTACTGTGTTCGATGTTCGTGGTAAATTTCGTAACCTCAGTTGTTTGCGGCTAATTTTTTCTTTTTCTCTGGCTTTAGGGCTTGGCTCTGTCGATATGGACGCTGGTGATGGAGCAGATATCGGGCATATACGTGGAGTTGTCATTTTTGGACGCCATTTTGAACTTCGGTCAGAGCTTCATAGTTTTCGTGATATTCGGGTTGGATACCAAAGAGGTGGTGCTGCCGCTCGTCAAATTTTGGCGCAAGATGTGGTATGGGGCGAACACCTTGTCCCTGCCCGCCTGGGACGAGCTGGGTGCCGAAACTAAACACGTGTGCGACCAATTCGTGACGCATCATCTGCAGAGTTGCCGCCAAACCATCGCCGCCGATCGGAGGTGGGCGTTTTTTTCTAATGGTTTTCTAATAACTAATATTCTATTATTTTATTTATTATTTATTTTATATTATTAATTTAAAAAAATGCAAAAAGGAAACTTCAAACCTTCTTCTAGTAGAGTAGTATTTAATTTTTTTTGCAGGGGCAATATATCGATTTTCACTTCCCAAACATTCTTTTCCGTTAGCAACGAAAATAGTTCAAATGTACTATATTGTTCTTTATAATCAGTAAAACTGTTCAACGTCGATGCAGCAAAGTAGTTCAACTGTATCTCAAGTTTTATTTATTCTATTTATTTAAATATTTTTTATATTTATTATTAACTTAACAAACGCAAAAAAAGCAATCTTGGAACCTTCTTCTAGTAGAGTAGTAGTTAATTTTTTGACAGGTGCATAATATTGATCTTCACTTCCCAAACATTCTTTTCCATTATCACCGAAAAGTAGTTCAAACGTACCATTATCGTTCTTCAACATCCATGCAACAAAGAGTTAACTGTATCTCGTGTATTTCGTGCGCTTAATGTTTTGTCCAGTGCGCGAAAGGGACAAAAAATTATTATCGGGTTTTATTTATTCCAGATGGAGGCTGAAGACTTATAAGAACGTCTTCACCGGAACACGGTTCGTCGACTGGATGGTAGAGGTCGGTTTGGCGAGAGACCGGGTCGAGGCTGTGAATTACGGAAGACACCTTATCGAAGGCAAAGTCTTGAAGCACATTAACGGAGTGTACCATTTCTACGACAGAGGTCTGTTATACACTTTTGTTTAGGTGGCGTTTGACCTCCAAGCGAGTTTCAATAGTCTCTTAGCGTTTTCGATTTTATTTATCAGTGCGATAATCAGAATTTTAAATTATTTTTTTAAGGCATGTGTGACGTAAATATTAGGCTAAGTTCAAAGATAAACCACATCGAACATTACTTAACACAAAAGACTATTTTTTTGCAACGTCGGTTGTTATATAAAACGCTTACGTAGTTTAATGAAAAAGTTACCGTGGGCGCATAGTGTCAGCCACCCTATGCGCAATGAGAGTTATTTCCAATGTTGTTAAGTCTGATCCAGACAATAGAGTTAATCAGAAAAATGTTGTGCGAATAAAAATGTTATATAATTGAAGAGGTTCTCTTTTATTTACTGGGTCCAACAGGCCTTAACACCAATCCTTGTGGAATACCTAAAGGTAATTGCAACAGTCCTTTATTTGCCGACGCTTGGGTCATATGTTTATATTCTCTTTGGGTGCTGTTAGATCAGTTGAACTGCTTTTAGTCGTGTCACCAATTAGATTTCACATAAACAGAGCCAGTTCTTCAAAAAACTCCTTTAATTTACAACGTTCAAGTCGACAAACAAACTGAACAACTTTTAGATCCTAAGTTTAAATAAAAACATCCGGAGTAATACTGACGCACCAAAATCAAGCGACAATTGGCTGCCCCAAAGGTGGAAAATATACAATAGAAAAATATACACTTACCGACCGAACAGAACGTTCTACGCCCTAACATCGACTTTAAATTCCTTTATTTACACAACACCTGGAAAACCACACCCCCCCAAGTTACGAAGTCTCGCTTACGCAGCTGTCGGTCTCTTTCATCATCATCTCCCCCAGACTTTCGTTCAGGTCATTAACGATCATTTCCAACGTCTTTTCCGTCCCCTTATCAGAATTACCACCCTTCATCACTACGTCATCCTCCCCGAAACCTTCCAAGACACTTTCGTCGCTGACCGCCGACTTCTCCTCCCCTTCTGGTTCCTTCGCATCCTCATCATCATTTGTATCCCCTTGGGAGATTGAATTTTCACTGATAGCCTCGATCATAAGACCTCCGGCGTCTTCAACGGTCGTAGGTGTTTCCTCTTCTCGACCTGGTGCTTCCAATTGAATCATGTCGCCCACGTCATCGTCCCTAAGTTGCTCGGCACCGCCTAGCTGAGGTAGTTCCTTTTCCATTTCTTTAATTTCCTTGGAAACTTCAGTCTCCTGGCTGCTGCTGGGAGATAGTTCATTAGTACATTCACTCACCACGCTCTCTATCCGGAAACTCAGTCCATTCGATTTGGCGTTGCTTTCCGTATTATGGACCAGTTCGTTTGAACTAATTTTAAGAGGTTCGCTTGTTTCGACTTCCGCGATGTCTTCCACCACGCTTTGCACGTTGCTGATTAAAATGTTGGAGCCGTCCAGGGGGTCCTCATGCCTAGTGTTTATCGTGCCCAGCTTCGAGATGTCTACCAACTTGACGCTGTCTTTGTTGCACGCTAGCAGTAATTTCTCCTGGACGTTTTCAGTCACCGTGTGAACATCCATGATGACCGGCTGAGGTAGCAGTTTGATCTTTGCGAACGGCGTAGGCGTATCGCAGCCCTTCATGTTAACGATCGGGCTGTCGTAGTTGCCAATGATTTCTTCCTCGTGTGACGTCATTTCTTGGTCATCGAAACTGACCATATTGTCGCTGACGTCTATTATTGTGTCTTCTACGTCGAGCGGCTCCGCCTTGATGTCCTCCACTTGGATCAAGGGATCGTTTTGGACGGTGTGAGGCTCCCGTACTATGGGGGCGTCGCCTGTTTCCTTGGCTTGCGGCTCGTAGTGGGAATGGAAGAACTTCGGTACTTTGACGTTGGGACGCGACCTCGTCCCCTTCCTCGACTGGAACATCAGCGGCGGCGACTGAAATTTGTCATTTTACCGGAAATATTTACGAAGCAAGGAACCGTCATCTTACCTCCTCCCGATCTTCGACGTATCTTCTCTTCTTCACCTTTTTACCTATATTCCTTTTAATGGGCACATGCTTGACTTCTCTAAGCTTCAAAGGTATGGCGGGTTTCAATAACGGCGGCGGTTCCTTTGTAATTTCCTCGTAGACGGGTTCCAAAAGGTCCAAAGGGTCGATCATGTCGCCCTTCTTCAGTGGCGTTTTTTCCTTTTCCTTAAGAATATCGGAGTGTTGACTGCTCTTATTCCTGTCGAACTTCTTCGGCGAGTGCGGGTAACTGGATTTCGCGGGACTCCTCGAGGTCGATGGTTTGGGCGACAATTTTGGAAGTTCCGCCTTGGTAAGGTTGTACAGCTTAACCTTTTTGTCCTCCCGTTTTTTTTCTTTCTCGTCTTTCGGTTCTTTCAGATCTTTCTGTTTAAGCACGGCCGGTTGCGTCATGGGGTCCTTTTCTTCTTTTACGGTCGCTACGATCGGAGATGGATTGGGATCGTCTTTGGTATGAGGCCTGCCGGCCAGACCTTTAATCTGAAATCGGGATGATATTACAACTTCGATTATGAGGGGTTGAGATTTTTGAAAAGGTCACCTTCAAAGCCTCGGCTACCTTTAGCAACTCTTCCAACCTATTCTGGAATATGTGAACCTCGCCGGCGTACATGAAATCGCACAGTGCCTTTAGTATCCAGAACGGGATGTCTTTCATGAAAAGAACAGGATGCTGGATCGGGCTGATGCCGCTCAAAACTTCCTCGAAATACGGACTGCACGACGACAGTATCATCTAAGGAAGACGAAAATCCCTTCAATTTCCAACCAACCAAACCATTTTTAAGAAACTCCAAAAACCTCTGGCATACATTTGAATAACCTGTTTTGTTTTATTGTATTTAAAAAACAAATATGCCATTTTTTGCATTAAAAGCTAAAATTAAACGAAGCAAATTTTTAATAGATTACTTGTATCAACGAGACAGTTTTTATAAAACAATTGTTTGGATATGGACCACTTTACCTTACAAAACCCCATTCTATTGCTAAAAGAGTGTGGAGGTGAGTGTTTTTTTTTTACGTGGACCGAGTTAACCCCCTTGTTTGCGTTGTTCCGTGCTCACCCGGTGACACTTTAAAGTTTTGCCCTCTGCTACCAAAGTTGCATCGACGTACTGCTCCTTCAGGAGCAAACTAGGGAACGCTGCCTGCATATTTGTGTGGTGACTGTTCCACCTCAAGCAGACCTCCTCGTTGGGCGGTTGTGGTGAGGTAATTTTCGGAAGAGGGAGCTGTGGCTTGGCCGCTTGTCTGGTGACCTTCAACTTGGTAGGCGACAGGGGCTGACTCTGCAAAACGGGTTCTTGCTGTTGCGACGCACCTGGTTGAGGGTCGGGCTGGGCTGACTGGGAGAGTCGTTGCTGCAGAGGCATGGAATCTGAAAATTTTCAAACATTCTCGTCCTCCATTAAAAAAAAAACAATTAAATGTTGACGTAGTTTCTTTTAAATAAATCTTTACTATGACTCCTGGTAAATGATAGAAAGAGCATAATTAAAGGCAAAATCGACACCAAAATTAAAGGGATTTGGTAAGATTTGTTAAAACGATTCTTGAAGTCCAAAGAAGAATTAAATACAAAATTGCAAAAAAAAGTGTAAACTAACCAAAGTCTTGCAGATGACATAACTAACGCCGATAACACTTTTACATTCTGTGATATGACAAGAATAACATATAGAGAAAACCCCGCCTATAGCTACTAAAGATATGCACGGTCCGTCTATGCTGATAATACAAGAACTTGTGAAGCAAATATAAAAACACTTTTGGAGCCCACTTATCACGCGCATCCGAAAGATTTAAAATTTGGTTTTTACCCAATGACCTTGCGGTAGTCAACAATCAACATGGCCGCTGACAATTGACAATGTCAATAAATTTGGATACGGAAACTTTACAGCAGTATTTTCTCAAAATGTGCCCAGATCCCATTAAATATTCAGGTAAAACGGAGGCAAGTGTGTGGATATCGCTGTTTAGATGAAATACTACCTCCACGAAAATATCATAGCTGCCTAAGACGCATCAATTTTAACCATAGTCGGGCCGCTATATCATCTAATAACTATAAGGTAGCTACAAAACCTATTGTGTATGTTCTATATTTTGTTACTATAATAACTAGAAGAGAAAAATTAAAAAAATATAATATCAATTAAATTTAAAAAAAACAACCATTTCTTTTGATGTTGTCCAAATGGAGTTTTTAATGACGCTCATCCGTTATTCACAAATTTTCCTCAAAAATTGGATGCAATTATATTTTGAAAGAGATAGTTTCTTAACATGAAGAAAACAAATTCACTTAGTAGGTACTATGCACTATTCATTTAAATTGCGGCTTTGTGATTGGTTCAATTCGATAGGATGATATAATTAAAAAAATAATAATTTATGGTTATTTAATTTTGGATATTTTATAGAAAAACGCCGTATAAACGAGAAATTTTTTGAGAGACGTAAATTCATATATCCTTTTGTCTATGTTCATATTTGCAAAACAGAAACTACAGGAAAAATATATTGACGCAAATAAAACACAAATATAGCTGTGATACCTAAACTGTTATTAGAGTTATCAAGGCTATCGTCTTCGCAAAAGTCGTTCGCTTTATGCGTAGTAACTCTGGCCGATCTTCTCACTGCCTGGGAAGCTTTCTCTAGAATTTGAGCCTTCAACCTGCGCCATCTTCTTATATTGGATTCGCTAATCCCGTAACGTTTTTTTGCCTCACTGGTACTCTTCTGCTCCGCGTATAATATAACCGCTTTTTTGAAAGAAGGCTCGTATTGGGCCACCATGCGACCAAATACGGTCGCCTGCCTCGTTGGCCCATTGGTTCGATGCTTTTTTGGCTTCATATTCCCGAAATACTGCTAGAGAGACATCCAGTTAAAAAACAGGGAGCATATTTGCTTATTTCCCCGCAATGGATGAAATTGCAACAATATTTAGTAAGTTATTGGTGACCACCCTGTATATACGGCCGCCATTAGTTAAATACCATTCCGCGTAAACACCAATCATTTCAGGAATTTGACAAGCTAGGAATTAGAATAAACAAACCACCAGCACCAACCGACCAAAGTATGAACTGTGTCATTTATGTACGTCAAAAAGATTAAAAGAGGAAATTTCTCGTACATTATAATTTTCGCGGATAATATTAAATGTCGTCTAAAAGTTTATTCGCTTTAATGCGTAGATTTATGAGACGAAAATAAATAATACTATGCGAAATTATTCAAACCTTGAAAATACTCCAGCGGTCCCCAAACGTTCACTGTCGAACAAAATAAAACAAAAACTTAAAATTGGCAGAACGAAATGCGGTCCGATCACACGTACCTAATTCATCGTCTATCGAATTGTCTAACAATTCGGCCTGTTTTACTAGGTGATGGCATTTTTTCCATTTATTTTTCACTTCCTGCAAAGTACGTCGCTCTAGAGACACCTTATTCACCTCTTCTAAAACGTAGTTCCATATCGAATCGCGCAATTCTTTGTTACCGAATATTTTGCTGTTTTGGCCGCACAACACGTCCTGATTTTGCATCACGTTCGACACCAGAGTGTCGATTTCTTCCGGAGAAAAGTTGGATTTCCGTGATTTTTTGTGGCCAGGGTCCGCGGCCATTTTTGTTGGCACTGTGACACTTGGCCCTTAATAAAGACGAATACCGAACCGATATTTACGTGATACGATACAAGTTTCCATTGGCCACGCACATTGTATTACGCATGTTAGAGGTAGAACTAGGAATTAACAATATTTAGAAGTCCTCTAGCTAGAGCTTTAGAACGTCAAGCATAAAAATAATCTGGGACTATTAGACACTGGAATATCATTCCAGCGAATCCAAAACAATCGTTCTCAAGGTACAGATAAACAAATTTGATAAACACAACAGCCAACACGACTGCAACGAGAGTTGTTGCGTTTCTTATTCGGACGAAGTGACGATGGTTTTTCTTACACAAAGTGCTAAATTGCATCCATAGCAGAGAAATTAAACTAGGTTCCTTAACATAACCTTACCCAACCTCTGTTTTTGCGACTGAAACCAAGATAGTCCTTTAGGTATGGGAAGCAAATCGAGTTGGGATAGTTTGGACAGCCAGGAAGGCTCCGGATTTAGACTACATGGCAAACAAACACATAAACAAACACGATTTTCCAAAATTCTTCAGGAAAACGCGATGGTAAACCGATCGGAATAGTTCGCGGAACAAGTCTATCAGCGGTACCCAAACGATCTTTCAATGTTTGCGAATAATACAAAGTTATAATTCACTTTATCACTTGTCTGTTATGTCTTTGCGACTTAAAATGTGAAACAGATCCTGACACAATATCGCTTATTGATAGTAATCAAACAATTTCTAGTAAAGATTGAATAATTTCTATTAGCTATTAGATACGTGTTTTATTGTACCTCATTTTAGCCTCTCGCAGCAATAATTTACCGAGGCAATAATAAAGCCGCCATAATTTTTGGTCTTTTATCTATAATCCAAGATCTATTTTTAATTATTAGGGAATTATTATTTTGAGAACTGCTGTTTTATTGGCCCTCCCTAAAAATAGACGAAATCGATAGAAGCTGATTTTTTATGTGACGCAAAAGGAATTGAGGCGGTATTATTTAAAAATGTTGCTACTAAATCCATTCGTTTTGTTGCTCAGTTATGATTAATTCGCTCTTCATAGTTTTTAAAAATAAATTTTATCTCTTTCACCAGAAAGCGATTTAAAGCAGACGTTTTTGTAACGTCACATGTCACCGGTTTCAATGATTAAAGTCCTTTTATGCATTGTCATTTAAAAGAAACAAAAAAGTTTTTAAATCTTTATTTCGTTTTTTATTGTGTTGGTACTGGATGACATTCATCAGAATTGCTTTGTGAGATGGCGCTTTAATCGGAAAAATGTCAATTTGTTTTAACCTAGTTATTTTATGTTGGAAGAAAATTTATGAAAAATAGCTTTAGAATTATAAATTATGGCGGAAACTTTGCCCTCCGTTGTAGACCAGGAATTACTAGCTTTGCGAAATCTTTTGTGGGGGGCTGAAATCAAGCACGACATTTTCCGTAGATGGTCACAAGGTTAGTATTACCGCAAATTTTAAACGGGAACGTTTGTTCTACTTCTAAATTATTTTTAGGGTTTTACTTTAGTACAAATGAAAAAAGCGCTTTGGAGCAGGCGGAAGGGGGACCGTGTGCTATATTGGCCCCCGTTCAAGCATTTATCATTAAGAATTTGCTTCTGGAGTATAATGGTCTCCTATTCCGAGAAAAAGTATGGCTACCATAAGAAACAGTTTGCATAGTTAGTCAATCGTTTGTTTTGTAGGTTGGCCCCGATGTTCAAACTAAAATACTAGTAAATGCCTTAAGTGAAATCTTAGGACAATGCAATAATGGTAACTTTTGTGTAGTGCACTTAGAAAATGTTTCTGATTCCAGTACCGAACTTAACGGGGATAAAAACGAAAATATTGAGCTATCTGAGCCTCTGGATCCTAATCAATTTCATACAGACCTAGAAGTTTTGTGTTTTCAAACCTTGGCCGAAGTCACCAAGTATTATTTTGACAATATCAAGAAACTGAACGGTCGATTTGGTGTTCTTTTGTTCTTGTATTCTGTGATATTATCGAGGGGCTTGCAACAGGTGAAATCTGAATGTGATAGCCAGGAGCCATTAATTGATGAGACTTACGGATATGGTAGTCAATCCCTCATAAATCTCATGATAACAGGCAGGGCCAGCACATATGTTTGGGATCATTACCAGGACGTGGGAGGCTTAAGTGGGTATTATGGCTTGTAATGTGATTTAATTGACTCGTTCCTTTTTAGAGCTCAAGGGTATAGAAAAGCAGAGCCAAGTTGGTTTTATAACCATCATGGAGTATCATAGGTTTTGCACTGTGGGATCTTTTTACAAGAATCCCATACATCCAGTATGGGTGCTGGCATCTGATACTCACTTAACAGGTATTATATATTATTTAATAATTGTAGTAGTTGTGTAGGTATTAAGAAGTAGCCATTTTAATAAGTAGAATATTTAATTCTAAACTTTAACAAGCAGATAGATAAAATAGACTATTGTTAACAATGAAATGTTTTCATAACAATTTCATAAGCTGTAATAATCTTCTGCCATTTTGTTTTCAGTCAGTAAAAGAGCATAATAAACTCAATTTCTACTTAGATTTTACATTTCATAGATCTCTTACTAAAAAAAGGGTGTTATTTAATATTATTATTATTATATTTAATTTGAGGTCATGTCCGCAGACCTGCTAACTGATTAGCATATGGTGTTTTTGTGTGTGTATTTTAGTATTGTTTAGTGATGAAAGAAAATTGGTCAGTCCTGAGACAAAAAGCGAGCAGGCGCGTAGGATATTTAAAAGTTTTGATCCCGATGGGAATAACTTCATCAGTTCCGATAAACTTCAGGACGTTCTAAGTGCTTTAGAGTTAGTTAGCGAACCCGAATAGTAAGTAAAATGGATTTTGCCTTGACATTACACTTCAGAGTTTGTTTTCAGTGTAAATATAATGAAAAAGAAATTAGATAGTGAAAGTTTAGGGATAATTTTGTTAAACGCCTTTATGGAAGAGTTCTTTCCGAGGGAAGAGTGGTCTACTCCGGATTTATTCACTTTGGTTCATTATAATGGCTTAGCGCAAAGTAACATCAATGGACAGGTTAGGTTTATTCTAAGCGAGCAACATGAAATGTTCATTGCCTCTGCCTTGTTGCAGGTTCAATACCATATAGGCGCCGCCATTTTGCTCGAATCTGACATAAAATCCGTGTGCGAGTCGAATCCGATGCTAACAGTGCTCCAGACAAAATGGCCAAACATCGAAGTGAACTGGACTGACGCGACGCCATCTTTGAACTGATATGTTCACTTTATCAACAAATTCGCATAATTTCGTCAGCTTGTTTATAATAACTAGTAATTTACAGGGTCGTTTGATTTTATTTTTAGGTTTTCAAAAAAATATTTCCTGATCACTTAGATTGCCCCCACCAGTTTTCCCCTGTTAGATAAATATGAGTATCACTTCCCAAATCGCCCTGTACTTACATCTTGAAATTGCATTTAATATTAGTAATTTATTAATTTTATTTTTTATATATATTTACCTGTAGAGCTTTAAACTTGTGGTATTATCTGAAGCGAGCAGATTGCTTCGTCCTGTTAACCAATTAAAGTGTTTTTTTTTATTGCTACATTTTTTGTAAACCTCGCGCGCCAATGAAGTTGGCGAACAGAAAAATTATAAAAATAAAAAGTACTCCACATAACCTACAAAAAATGATAAAACTAAAGCTCGGCGCCTACTATGATCCTAATTTTTAGGACAGAAACAAAGCATAAGACGATGGGTAGTAGTAGACTAGATGGAGAAATTTTAACTGTGATTGCCACCAGGTTGTATATTTGTTCGATTTGACCAGGAAATTATATTAAACGGTAAAATTGTTTTTATTCACAATGAAAGTTGCACCTCAATAGACTTAGATGAAGGGAATTGAGTTTGCTCAAAAGGATTGACTTAAAAAAAGACAACTCATGTTAAAGCATGTTTTTTAAGGGAAATAATTTGTTTATCTTTTTTAACAAATGAGAAAAAAACGAACCATGTTTTAAATATACTTTTATTTACAAAAAACAAACTTAGCTTTTCCATGTTCTTGTATCTTTAAGGAAGACATATCTCTAGCACATAAACCTAGCACTCTCTATTGTGTTTTAGTGCACGCCGTCTCGTCAGCAATCGAATTTTTGGAAGAGGCTCATCACTGAAACCTATAAAAACCAAAGTATTAAAAATGTTATTTTATCGCTCCTATTTTCTTTCTTTCAAATCGCGTCAAAGCTACAATATTAATTGTCACCAGTTACCAATATTAAGAAAAATACAGTTAGAAAAGGTACAAACCTCCAGAAATTTGGAAAATATTTGCAATGGACAATTATCAAAGAAATGGTAATTGAAAATGTGGCAACAGAAGAAGAAAAATTGCTTTCGAGTTCACTGAAAAATCGAAAACTTGCTGCCTGTGGTTAGCCACGTTGCCGTCCTTTGGATGTTTGTGCAAAAGCAGGGTTGCGTTTTTGAGAAAGAATATTTATAGTTACTAATTAATGTCTCAGGTCTGGACAAAACATTAGGGTAAAAGAGTTAAAAGAGCGATCGAGATAATTAAGAATCGACACATTCAGATAATAAAAAAATAGCTGCTAGGTATAGTTGGTTGCTTGCTGTTTTACTTTTCTCTGTTCACTTTGGCCTTGTTTAAAGTGACATTTCTTAACATGCTATATTTCTTTAGTTATTGACTTAACGAATGAAAAGCAAGACGCAAAGTTGTGGTTCATAAAATATTCCAAAAATACAACTAATTTTTTACGAATTTAGTGTTTAAAATTTTATTTATTTTATTTTTTAATGAAACTTTTCAAGATATTTGTAAGCAAGTCATCGTTTATTTAAAAAATATAAGTTGGTAGTTAGTTAAAATTGTATTTTTATTTTTTTAAGTTGATCGTATTGAGCAGTCCGTGATAAAAGATTGTGTAGATGTATTAATAAGCAGTAATAAGTTTTGTTTTCGTTATAACACTTTGACACCTAAAAATAACGAAAGTGTTCATAGTGCTCTGTTTAGAGAAGACAACACAAGTTTTTTACTTACCGAAGCCCTATTAGACTTGTGCCTGTAATCTTTTATTACCTTTTTAATAAAATTCTTTTTACCTACGAATTTGCATTTACGAGACGAAGAATGTTGTCGTTATTTTGAGTTGTTGTTTTGTTTTATTTTGCTCTTCTGGTTGTATAAAAATTGAGTTCGATCTAAGCTCCAATAGTTCCAGCAATGTTACCAATATCTACTATTTTGGGATTCAACAGTTATATAGAGGGAGATGGGTACTCATGAGAGGATTCTTTTCTTTGTCATACACATAAATACTAATGCCAGGTAAGTGTAATCGGAGATTCTTTGGTATTATTTCTCAATTTTTTCAACTGATTCTGCTGGTATTTTGATTATTTTTGTCGTCGACAATGTAGCGCATCTACTATAATTATTTCATGCTGTGTAAAAAATGCATGGACAACTCTCACAGTGCTAGAAAAATTTTGATGAAAGTTAAATTTACTCTCGGTCCAATACTTGTCGACTTGTTAAGGTGTTTAATATTCTTTGGTTTGGTATACTGCTTAGTTTAAGTTTATTAGTAATCATTCATATTTCGTGTGTAATACAGCGTGTGTTCAATCGTATACGAATTATGCAAATTATGTGCGAGTCTAGTGAATCTCAGGAGATGCTCCCGCCCAAATGTAGAATACACTATTTTATTGAGACTAAGGAAGTTATAAACAATGTTTATTTGACTCTCATGGAACGTGGTGCCAGCAAGCAAGCATTTTTAGAAGAAACGGCCACATTGACGAAAATTCCAACATCAGCTGTATGGAAAATTGTGAATAATCCCATAGGTGCTTCATAATTATAATATTTAGTATATTTTTAAAATAAGTTTTAATTTATTGTGACAAAATAGAACTACTAAGTGAAATAAATATGCGATTTTATACAAAAAAAAATGTTGCTGCAAAAGCAGAAACATCGTTTCTCACGGTGACCGTCCATTATAAGCTTTAAGAGAACCAAAATAGATATTGTTGTGTGTATGGCCATAATTGAACCTGATGTACAATTTGCAAATCTTTAAAGCTTTTGCAATTGTGCCGGTTCTACCCGAAATCAGTAGCAATATTGAAATTTCGAACATCGAAATTCGACATAAAAAATTAATCAACTTTTACTTATTGTTCCTACTCTGCTCGCAAAAAAATAGTTTTTTTTTAAGTGTTATTGGCGTAAAAACGGATTATTCAATAAAAAATAAGGTAATGAATGTACATACTTAACCCATTTTGTCTAAGTGGTGCGTTGATGCACCATCTATTCTATGATTTTTTTTGTCCCATCCAGGAAATATTTTTGCACATCCATTTAGAAATTTTATTATTATCACTACTAAAGAACATAAAACCTAGAAATCGCCAATTTATGTGTAATGGAAAGAACTTATATATGACTTCAAAAGCTAACAAAAGCGATACATAAATTTCTATCACATTTTCAAGTCAATCCAAAATAGTAAAAAAAATATTTTGGATTTGTATTGCCATTTTTGTTAAGTCTATAGCACGTAGATTACATCGCAGAAAACATACATTGGAATTACTATATTGATTATGCTTTATTTTTTGAAAATATTTACTAGTGCGTGAATGCACTACTGGTTTTATCTGTGAAACAAAACTTCCAACATCCAACAATTAGCGCGTTCTTTAGTATTAGTTTGTCCGTTGTGCAGTGAACGTTCCAGCTCGTAAAATATGGCATTTCGGAGGGATTTGACTCAAAAGGAATTATAGGCGGCTATGGAGGAGATCATGATGGATGAGGACAATAACAATGAAAGTCGTAAGTATTATTTGGATTTATTTCCTTGTAAATTTATGCTAAAAATAACGTGAAAAAATATTTACAGAACATATTGGCGCGGTCTATATTCCACTCGACGTGGATACCTTGACTGACGAAGAAGATATGAACGATAACATAAATCTACAAGAGCTTGGGGAACCAACTGATATAGTTGGAAACTTCGAATTACATACACCGAATGATACAGTTCTCCTTCAACAGTTCTGTAATTCATCAACTACTGAACCCGAATGGGACTCATCAGATGATGAAACTCTGGAATTCGAAAGAAGACCTATGCTTTCTGCAAACGACAGGCTTGCTTCTACTGTCAAATGAAAGAAAGGCTAGATTGAGTACACTCACACACCTATATTTAAATCTTACATTGCTTTGCGACTTTTAAAAACTGATAAAACAATTACGCAAAGAAATCTTGCACCTGCGATAGATGAAGTGCGTTATGATAATCAAGGTCACCTCATGATTGTTTATGCTAATAAAGCCCGAAGGAGACGTAGAATCTGTCACAGCCACACAATTTACGTTTGTAATAAGTGCAATGTGCATACTTCATGCATTGTAAAATATCACCAAAAATAAAACCGGGTGTTACCAGTGGTGCGCTCACGCACCATAAAATATTATGCTTTCAAATCAGGTTCTATTTGGAAAACAATCTACTTTTAGTTGTTTTTGTCGAATTTGAAATTTCTTTTGTATTTATGTATAAATTATATGTTAAATCTCGTGTGCCCCAAAACATTATTTAATGTTTTTTCCCAGTAGTTCGTTTACGCACCAGTATTTTTTTTGTATATTTCGAGTTTTTTTTTTGACACGTAATGTATTCTTAAGTGCAACAAAATAAATAATTTCAGAGCAAAAACGGATTTTTTTATTTTTTTTATGCTTGGGATAATATGGGTTAAAAACAGTGCATGTAATATCGACAATATTTTATGCTGTTTTAAAATTCTGCCAAGGAGTATCTCGAAATACCTAAATCTTTTTCCGCCGTCTGCGTAGAGGTTTCAAGAAAGTAAAAAAGAAAGCTAACACATTGTTGATGTTCCCTCACTTGAAATAACCGGCTTGAACAAACCTCTAGCAGTTTTACTTCGATTTTCCAGAAATTTTCTCTTGAACCTTCTCAATCTGCCAGTTTCATTAACAACTTTGCTGCACTCCCCATGTATTACGAATTAATTTACAATTTCGGCAGAAGAATTTGGATTATTTTGCATAATTTTAAGATTTAACCAGACATCTTTTATTCTAATTTCTCGTCAAGGAACTTCAATTGATTGACACTTCACAAAACGTTTCTGCATGGCAAGTTAGAATAAAAGCCAGCCATAGCCTACTTCGTGTAAGTTTTTAATCGCGTAAATTGTTATGGGTACCGTATGGCAATATCTTTCATTTTTTTAAAAACGCTAGAGATAGGTACAGGAACCCGTATAATCATTTTGCGGATAATTTGTCGTTTGTCAACGAAACGGATTTAAAAAAAAAGACTTTTTATTTTAGCCTTGGAAAGTGCGTGTATAAGTGTATAAAATATTGTCGATACATGCACAGTTAAGTACATTCATTAGCTGTCACCTGTAAAAGTGTTAATTGAATAATTCATTATCATACTTTATGGAAGCGGGGTTTAAATAAAAAAAATATATTTTT